TTCTGTTAAAATTTCAAGTCAATCCACGCAGGACGAAAAAATTTCGAGGTGAAATGCTTTATTTCCTGAACTATAAGTGGTTTGACAGCATAATAAAAGCGTAGATTTATGTGTAGCTTTTAATTTTTATGATTTCAGAATCCAGCAGCCCGCTGAAGTATTGGATTTTTATAATATCATTATTTGACAACCTTTTGTTGGCCAACCACCTACAGCAGAATTGAGCCGAAATACATAATATTTCGTATGTTCCGAATTTATTTCGTTCAACCTGTATAATTAACACACTATTCGATACATCTGGTAAAGCATAAAAGAAAAATGTGGAGCAAATACAAGTATAAATTAGTTTACAACCGTTAAGACTTTCTTTCTATTCTTAAATTCTAAGACTCATACACAAAAAGTCAGCGAATATGTCCTGCTCTATCTATATCTCCAGTAGTATCTGCAAAAAGGGCTATCTATTTTAGTAGCCTTAAACGAAAACGACTGTCATTTTCTGTCTTTTTAAGCTGTACGAAATGTGTAAAAGATTTACAGATTTCAGCAAGAGCTTTGCTATTGCTAAGATTAATATTACTATGGTTGTCGAACTACTGATGATGATAAAAAGAATAAAGACAATATTTACCTCTCAACAAAAACTTTCATGTCTTGTCCGATTTTGTTCAAGACAATATCCCAAACAAACAATTGAGTTTATGAACTTTCTTGTGCAGACTGTCGATGATTTTATATAGGGCAAACAAATCGAAGAATGGAAAACCGAATTTATAAACACTGCAATTCCATTTGCAATTTCGATTCCACTCTAAATCAACATTATTTCCATACACGTCACAAAATTGATTTTATAAATTATATAACTATAACCTCATCTGTTTATATAAACAAAGAATCATCCATTGGGATTAAAAAACTCCCTAATTCAATCAATAAAAGAGATGACGACATCAGTTTGCCTTCAAGATGAAGGCCCTCCTGCAATCTTAATACACCAAATAATAACGTCTTTTTTATCCTCCAATCTAGTATCAGACGCCAAGAATTTTTGTATGAGTAGTCGTATTATTAGTAAAATTATAGTATTGGTAAAAATTATAGTAGTAATAGTACTAGTAGTAGTAGTAGTAATAGTAGTGGTGGTAGACATTTTCGTGAATAGTGAACAATGTAAAGTGATCTGGATGCTCAGGAGACTGAGACCTGAACACCCTGACTAAACAAAGGAGTTCAAAAGTTGAAATTTTTAAAACTAAATAAGGTTGACATTAATTTTTCTAGCTATATTAACCTTGACTATTAGCTGTGTTGGTATATTAAATTCTGTCATTGCTTTTGTTAGGAATTCTCGGTTTATATTGTCATATGCGCTTTCGAAGTCTATGAAGAGATGATGTGTGTCGATGTTATATTCACTTGTTTTTTCAAGGATCTGTCGCAGAACAAATATCTGGTCTATTGTTGACTTCTGTCTACAGAAGCCACATTGGTATTTGCCAACTATTTTTTCAGCGTATGGTCTAAGTCTTTCATACATTACGTTGGACATTATTTTGTATGCCGCATTCAACAGCGTGATTCCACGGTAGTTTTCACATTCTAACTGGTTTCCTATTTTATGTAGTGGTACAATAATGCCGCTATTCCACTCCTTTGGTAGCTGTTTATTCAACCATATCTTTCTTATCAGCTCATGTATGGCTTTAAGTAATGCGTCTCCTCCTTCTTTCAGTAGCTCCGATGATATTTGATCCGATCCCGGTGATTTATTGTTCTTTAATTTGTCCACTGCTGTTCTAATCTCTGCTATTGTTGGTGGACTCTTTTCTCTGTTGTCTGCTTGGTCTAATGGTATATCAGGGTTCATCTCCGTCCTATTCACCCCAAGCTTTTCTTAAAATGTTCTGTCCATCTTCTAAGTATCTCTTGCTGTTCTGTCAATATATTACGCTCCTTATCTTTACACATCGTTGTTCTCGGTTTGAACTCTTTTCTGCTTTTGTTGAGTTTCTGGTAAAATTTTCTTGTCTCTTTTGGTTTACTTAGTTCTTGTAGTTCTGGAAGTTCTTTGTTGATATATTCTCTCTTCTTTCTTCGGAGAATTTTCTTCTCTTCTTTACGTAGTTGTTTATATTCTTCCTCTGCTTGTCGGGTTCTGTGCCTCTGTTGCATCTGTAGATATGCTCTGTTTTTTCTTTCTGTTATAGTTTGACATTCTTCGTCAAACCAGTGATTCGTTCTTGTTCTTCTTTCTTTACCTCCCATGCCCAACACCTCTTTAGCTGTTTCTTTTATGATTTCTCTGCACTCTTCCCATTCCTCATTTAGGTTTTCATGTTTTGGTCTGTTTTCTAGTTTGATGCTTATATTTTCTTTGTACTCTCTATTTTTGTTTGTTTCTTTGAGTCCTTCTATATTGTATCGTTCATGTTTAGAGCCTCTTTCCTTTTTGATGTTTGAAATTCTAGCCCTTATCCTACTTTCGACCAGGTAGTGATCAGAATCCGCATTTGCCCCTCTTCTGTTACGGACGTTTATTATATTCGATTGGTGTCTTGAGTCTACAATAACATGATCTATCATATTCACTGTAAGTCCGTCTGGTGATTTCCAGGTGCCTTTGTGTATATCTTTTCGAGCGAAGTATGTGCTGGCAATCACCATGTTAAGTGATCTTGCTAGGTTTACCAACCTATTGCCATTGTCATTTGATTGCTCATGGAGACTGTGCTTACCTATTGTGGGTTGGAATTGCTGCTCTCTTCCAACTTTTGCGTTTAAGTCTCCATAAATTATTTTTATATCACTTTTTGGGCATGACTGGTATGCGGACTCTAATTCATCATAAAACTCTTCTTTGACTTCCTCTTCTTTTTCTTCTGTGGGAGCATGCGCATTAATTAGGCTGTAGTTGAAGAAACGTCCTTTAATTCTTAAAATACACATTCTGGGACTGATGGCTCTGAAGTCTTTTATTATATGTCTTATTATTATATGTCTTTTATTATATGTAGAAAATGGTATGGCTCTTTTTTTCCATAATATGGTTTCCAATCCACCTCATTTCTTGTATGGCAGTTATGTCAATTTTGTATCTACTTAGAATGAAAGAATTTAATATACCAACACAGCTAATAGAATTGATAAAAGAAACACTAAAAGTAGAAAGTAAAATCCGGATACAAAACGAATTAACGGAAACAATAGATGTGAAGAAGGGACTACGCCAGGGAGACGCTCTATCATGCATATTATTCAACATCATACTTGAAAAAATAATAAGAGACACAACAGTTAATACCCGAGGAACAATAATTAATAAAAGCGTGCAAGTACTAGCATTTGCAGATGATGTTGACATAATCGCAAGATCAAGAAGAGAAATGATAGAGGCATTCACTCAAATAGAACGAGCTGCAAAAAATAGTGGTCTTAAAATCAATCAGACAAAAACAAAATATATGCCTGCAAATAAAAACGCACAAATAAGGCAGCTGCCAAATTTAACAATAGGAGAATACAACATTGAGGCGGTAAAAAACTTTACATACTTAGGATCCCTAGTTACGTCTGATAACAACGTTGCAGAGGAAGTGAAGAGGAGAATATTTATTGTCAATAAATGTTACCATTAGGCAACTAAGATCAGATAACGTCTCCAGAAAAATAAAATGCCAAATATACAAAACCTTAATAAGACCGGTACTCACATATGGTTCAGAAACCTGGACACTCTCTAAAAGGGAGGAAACGTTATTAGCCACCTTTGAAAGAAAAATCTGCGATACATATATAAGGGCACAAAAGAAAACGGGATTTGGCGGAGAAGGTATAACTTTGAACTATACAACATATACCAGGATCCGGATATCATAACATTCATTAAAATAGGAAGGCTACGTTGGATTGGACATGTGGAAAGAATGGAAGAAGGCGAAATACCAAACAAAATATTCAAACAAGTGCCAGTAGGAAAAAGAACAAGAGGAAGACCGAAGCTGAGATACGTAGAACAAATAGAAAATGATATTCGCTCCGTGCGTGACTGATGCGACACCTACCGCCTTCATCTGACAATTTGGGAATCCCAATTTTCAGGTTAAACTTATGACATATGTTTGACATTGTTAAATACATGCGAAATTGACAATTATTAATAAATTAGTTTTTTAGCTATATTTTAAAGTTTATGTACAAAATAAATGTAGTATTAAAAACTGGATTTCTCAAAATTCATCATAATATACCTTTTCAACTCCAAACGGAAAAGAAAGGGAAAAATCTAGTACTGGCAAATCAAGTTTTTCACGCAAAAGAGCATATAATTAAAAACAATAATAGTAAAAGTTAGGATATAAAAGCTAAAGTCATCTGCAGTTAGCTTGTAGCCTTATGAAATATCATTCAAGGTAAATTATTTAAATTTTTTCTATTTCAATTGCATAAAAATGAAACTATGTGATATTTACTTTTTCATATTAATAGCACGAATTCATCTTTTTCTTTTTTCTAATTTATATGTAATTTTTGGGAACCTATGAAAACTACAATCACCATTTTTGCTATTATTAGCACAATTAAATACGCAACGTGTATTTGCACACATTTTTGATAAAATTTATGCGTAAAAATATTTTGTCCAATATTCCCATTTTGTCATATTTCGCCGCTACGCACGCTGGCGTCGTTTCAATGTATCCCTACCATGGTCACGCACGGAGCGAATAACAACATTAAAAATTAAAAACTGGAAAAAAAAAGTACGAAACAGGTCAGAATGGAGAAGAATACTTGAACAGGCCAAGACCCAAAAAGGGTTGTCGAGCCAGTGATGATGATGATGATGATGATATTAACCTTGACAATAAAAAAGCTTTAAAAGGCTAAATTATGGTCTTCTAAAAGAATTTAGAGTCTCTAGAATGTAACCCGGTTTTTAAAGCTAGTTTTGATAGGTTCTGTTTATGTTTATAATAACATAATTTATGTTATAGGTTGTCCGGTATCCTCACATTGACGCTCACACTATGGGAAATAATCCTAGAAGACTCACACTATCGATGGAAACAGACCTTACGACAACTTCAAACAGCACGTCACACGATCAGTACTACTACGGATGACACGAGTGCCAGGGCCACGGAGGCCCAACTCTTCCTTATTCACCCACGTGTCCAGGTCAGCGCACGTACTGTTTTTAAAGAATCGTGATACCTGTGTTGTGATGAACCGTGCTATGTGCCATATTGACATTTAGTGCACTCTACTTTCATTGAAACAGACCAAAGACTCCTTTTTCTTGTATTTGTACTATAACCCTTGGTCTCCTGTAACATTCTGAGACTTTATAACAATTATTTACCACGCCTACTTTTAAAACCACATTCTTTTAGTGGGCGCAAGTTTTTGAAGATGAAAAAGGTTACGAATAATACATTACACTACACAAAATCTAGACACATAAAGGTAATGTTCAATCACAAATGAATCCCTTAACTTGGACAAATTAATCCCTTAATTTGTAATCTCACATTAATCTTAACTTCTTAATCTTTTATAGTTTCACCGTGTATAAGTGAGACATTGTAAAACCATATCGTATAATATTTTAATAGTTAGTTCATTTACCTACAACTAAATAAATTACCGAATAATATATTTTCTAATTGAACTTCGTAAGTGTCGCAATTAAGGCCTACATTAAATTGTAATGTAAGCAAATAGTTCAAAGTTTGTTGGTATGGTATGAACGAAGCAAGAACCTCTGTGCTGAGGTATGAATTATTTGTGAGATTATAAATTGGGGATTTGAGCTCATGTGAGCACAGTTTATTATAAGTAGTTACCTAACGAACTTGTGTAATTACTGGTAGCTGTCAATAAAACCAGCACTTTTACCCCACAACTTCAACTTTTTATTATATTTATCATCGTCGATCGACAAGAAGCGGACACAGGGACATTATAAAACGATTCGAACTACACGATTACTACGTTCGAATATTTCCAGTAATCATAGGAAATTTTAATGCAAAGATTAACAGAGGATGTCGTTTCATAGAATCTGCCAAGAACATAATTAACTTACATCTTCCATAAATAGAGACCTCTAGACAAGAGAGAAAGTTTTTTGCTGGCAATATTTTCGGCCGGTATGAAAGTTTGTTGCCTGGTATTTTTAGCGAATTAAATGTTGACAGTTAAATCACAAGACGTCACCAAAACAAACTTGAATAAAACCAGAAGAAAATTTTGCCGGTAAATAATTTTCTCTCGAATGATATTTGACAAGACTATTTCACAAGACAGTTAATGCACCATATCAACGAAACATAATCTTTATTTATTTGTTAACAATATTAAATGTACAATTATCATAAGCTATAGTAGTTTGCCCATTTTTTTTACCAAAGCATGATTTTGTGTATTATTGACTTGTAGCATTTGGGAACTCGAAGGTCCAGCTTCATTTGTTGTTCTGAGATTTTCGATCAACTTCTGGTGGTGACTGGAATCCAGCTGCAGATATAATTTTAGAGAGCTTGCATTTGAGTGACCCATTAATTTTAATAACTCCTGTTCAGAAACACCTTGCTTGAACAAGGCTAACCCAGCTGAAGATCGGATGAGATATTTTTTTGTATTTATTTCAATTTTTTCAGCTGACATTGTTGTCCACTTTGATACGGTGTTGATTCCAAGTGGACAGTTTTTGAATTAAGATCCATCCTTCCAGTTGGGGTGAACGGTAAAGTCTGTATGATAAAATCTTTGGTCCACTTTTTTCCATTAATTTCAAAAATAATCTAACTGGTCATACATTTTCGTTTGATGAATTTCTTACCAGCCATATTCTGCTTGCCAAACGTTCCGAACCGCCTTGATTTGTTTTGGAAAAAATGCTGTTGTATTTAATTCGGCCCGTAAACCCATAACATCAAATTCCGTCTAGAAAAAGTGAATCTTGCAGTTTACGGCCTTGTTGCTTCTCCAAGTAAGTTCAAATGAGCAAAGGTGAAAAACCTTTTTTTGTGCCCCATCGGGGGTTTCCTCGTCGTAGCTTTGGATGATTTTTAACAGTTTTTCGGTGGATAATGCTTTTGAATTGAGTTTTCTTTTTTCTTGAACACTTAAGTTGCCTCCGCTTGGTATCTCTGGCGAATCTTGCACATTTGAAACATATATCTGTGTAAGGGTCGATTTTTATGTCTCCGGTACTCCGTAAAATATTTTTCTTGTATCATTTTTGGTGTAGTGCTTCACATTGACTTTATAGATGACTCTTTATAGTCTTCGCCATTACCTTTTTTCATGTTAAAGGCATAAGTATCGAGAATTTTTGTTAGTTCCGTTATGGTAGTACCGTTAGCGTTATAAAAAACTGGTACAACTCTTATAACCAAAAATCGTGTTTTTTAAGTTGTGTACGTTGATCTTGTCACATATGGCATTCTAATTTCTAGGGCATTGTTGCCAGTTCAACGAAAATATTATATGAAACCAGCTAAAAAACAGGGTTGTATGACAGACCGCCAGTTTTGAGTATACTAAAAACTAAAATATAATCGAGCATTCTCGATCAGTCAGTCACATTAAACTTGTTTAAACGTGCATCCTAAAAATTGCTCACATTATTTTGTAATTTTTAAAAAATATTTCAATTTAAAAATAATAAAAGATAATCAATCTACACATAATCAATATTATAATAAAACTTACAGTGAGATATTGGATTGAAACTGTCACGTTTTGAAAAGCGTTTTTTGGTCCCGTAGATTTTATAGTTTATAATCTACGTAGGATAAAGTGTAATGTTAGTTTTTCACATTTATCGATCTTGTAATAAATAAAATAATTTTGGTAGTTTGCCTGTTACTAAATTCATTGATACAAAATACAGTTCGTGTTCGGTAGGTAATTGAAGTATAAAATTACTGTAGATGCATTCCAATGTTCCCTGTGCCAATACCCTACCAAAATAATACCTATCCAAAAACATTATACATTTTTGAACCTTATTTTTTTTATTTAGATTTAGTGCAATTCCGTTATTTATGATGGCAACAACGAATTGATTCACGAACCATTGTGTCCAGTCTGAACACAGGTTTACATTGGGAAATAAAGTGTACCAGTTTTATATGACTGGAAGTGTACATATTTCAAGCGTAAAATGTCTCACCTGTAGGCACTCAGAAAATGTAGACCAAATAAAGCTTCTCAGGAAAAAAAATCAGGAAACATGCTGTACTACAATGACAATGAAGATAACTCTAACAACGGAGTTGGTTTTATAATAAACAAGAAAGTCGTCAAAGACATATAATCCACCAAGGGTATATCAGACAGAGTAGCCTACATTATGCTTAAATTAAAAAGAACGTCTTTGAAAATGATACTGGTATACGCGCCAACAAGTTCATATAGGTACAGATGAAGACATTGAAAACTTCTACGAAGAACTAACACTCGCTATGGAAGAAAAAAAAACTAAATTGACGCTAATAATTGGAGACTTCAATGCCAAATTAGGGGGAAGAATAGATGGAGAAGAACACAGAATTGGAGAGTATGGATATGGCGAAAGAAATAATAGACGACAAACATTAATGAACTACTTGGAGGACAGACAACTTTTTGCTATGAACTCGTTTTTTAACAAAAAACCGCAAAGAAAATGGACACGGATAAGTCCTAACGGTAATACAAAAAACGAAATAGATTACATCCTTACAACACAAAAAACCATCATCAAAGATGTTATAGTACTGAACCGCTTCTCAACCGGTAGCGATCATAGACTTGTCAGAGCCAAACTCAGGATTAATAGCCAATTCGAAACAAAAAATAAAATGGAAAATGTATCGAAACTAGATATAGAAAAACTTAAGCAATCAAAAGACGAATATAAACAAAAAATAAGGGAAAGTATACCGGTCACTAGAGATTTGGAAAACAAAAATATCGATGAAATAAATCAGCTATTAACCGATATATTAGCAAAGGCGGGAAAAGAGGTAGCACAAACAAGAATAAAAAAGGAAAACTGTATATCCCAGGAAACAAAAAATCTCATAAGTAAAAGAAAAACATTACTGGAACAAGATAAGAGAAACACAGTAGATTACAAAGAGGTAAACAAAGCTATCAGAAGGAATATCAAGGAATATAAAAGGAGTGTACAGGAAGAAAAAATAGAAAAAGCAATTAAACAAAATAAAAACATGAAGTGCTGAAAACCACAGCTTGGAACCATACAAATTAATGGTATAAAGAACAAAGAAGGTACAGAGACCAATAATATAGAAGAAATTATACAGATAACACAAAAATATTATGAAAACCTCTACAATACAAAACAAAAACCAACCCGAGAAATCCTTAAGCAACTACAAATAAAAATAAAAAATGTTAATTCCGACTTACAACCAGAAATCAGTAAGAACGAGATAAGAAGAGCACTCAAAGAGATGAAGAATAATAAATCGCCAGGAAAAGACGGGGTGACTGTAGAAATGCTAAAACATGGTGGGAAAACAACTAGAGAAGTTTTGTACATACTTATAAATAAAATACTAATGACAAAACAAATACCCAACAGTTGGAACGAAGCAATAACACTGTTACTATTTAAGAAAGGAGATAAAAAGGATCTAAGGAATTACAGACCCATAACTCTACTAAATGTGATGATTGTGATGTACAAACTATTAACCAAAATATTAACAAATAGATTAACAACTAAATTAGATGGATACCAGGCAAGAGAACAAGCCGGATTTAGAAAGAGCTTTCAGTACAAGTAACCACCTTTTAACGATAAACATTTTAATCGAAAAAACTAACAAATATCATATCCCGCTATACATGGCATTTATTGACTTCGAGAAGGCATTTGATAGTGTGGAACATTGGGCAGTACAGAATTCCCTACAAAACAGCAGAATAGACTACCGATATAACGACTTAATTACAAATATATACAACAAGGCAACAACAACTATTAAGCTAATGTAACAAACGGAACATATTAAAATAAACCGAGGAGTAAGACAAGGAGATACCATCTCGCCCAAGCTATTCAACCAAGCGCTAGAAGATGTTTTCAAACGACTACACTGGGATAGCTTAGGAATTAACATAAACGGGCAAAATCTGAATCATTTACGGTATGCTGATAATATTGATATGCTGAACTAGATAGCAAATCGATAAAAATTGGACTCAAAATGAATTACAGTAAAAGAAAAACCATGACTAATCAACCAGAAGAACTAATAATTACAGTGGCACAAACAAGAATAGAACAAGTAAAAGAGTAAATATGTCTAGGCCAAATCACTAAATTATTAAAGAAAATCAGACCGAAGAAATAAAGAGAAGAATAATAGAATTAAAATAATAGAAGAAATAAAGAGAAGAATAAGATTGGCCTGGGCATCATTCGGAAAACTGTCTTATATTCTAAAGAATTCAAAATACCCCTAATACCAAAAAACGAGAGTCTTCAATCAATGTATACTCCCTGTCCTCACATATGGCTCTCAGACATGGACGTTTACAAAGGAAAATATGGAAAAAATAGCAAAGACAGAAAGATCCATGGAAAGACAAATGCTGAACATTAAACTATCAGACAGAATGGATCCGTAATAAAACAAAAGTGAAAGATGTCTCAACTCAAGTAGCAAAGCTTAAATGGAAGTTCCCCGGACACACCCTAAGGCAGAAAGATGAAAGATGGACTAAGACAATTATACATTGGAGACCATGGAATCACAAACGAAAAAGGGGAAGACCACAAATGTGATGGTCAGATGACCTAAAGAAACACGCCGGGTCAAAATGAATGCAAATTGCCCAAGATAGAGAGGCATGGAAGAAGAAGGAGGAGGCCTATATCCAAGGATGGATGTTTAGGGCTGTATAGATAGAAAGCTTCTGGACCTCTGCGTGTTCAATGGGACATTTTCCGAAACCAATTTTTTTATTTTTTCACGTGACTGGCATTCAAATCTTGATTTTTCGTCTGGATTCATTATATCTGTCCAAGTCTTGATTACGCCTAGATGACGTTTGTCAAACTGACAACAATAGCATTATCAGACACCTTTGTGACAGATCTGTCATAATTTTGTCGCTGAGGAATCACGGGCATGATACTATGATATACCCGGTTCGCTATTCCCAGTCCGAACTGTCTAGTGATTTTAGTAATTATTTTTTTTTCGAAGTTAGTAACTTTTTGACAGACTCGAAGTGGCTGGAAAATACTATACAACCAAGCATACGTGCTCTTAGTCAATATTAATGTAAACAAAAGTAAATAAAATAGAACTTTGCCGACAATCAATATTTATTTATTTACACCGTATAATGTATTGATAACAAATAATAAAATTATTTATTGTACAAAATAAAAAAGTGGGAATAAATTCTACAAAATTAAGAAGTCAAAGTGAGGTTAAATAAGAATAAGACACAGCAAGTTCCTTATGTATTTACATTTACATAATTCGATAGAACATTTTAATGATCAACTTACCTTAACAGGGTTTTCATTCGGTAAAAATATTCGGTAAAAAATATTAACTTTAAAAAAAACGGTAATTACTTACATTAGTAAGGATAGTCGGATTAGTCTGAAATTTGGACAGTGGATTATGTTTTATTTTCTATTCACTTTTCAATCTATACATTTTTTTACGCTGAGCTATAGTTTTTCTGTAATTCGCATTTAAAAAACTGATATTTTGACATAAATTTCAAGATGCCGCCGCCATTACAGCTGCTGTCAATGATGTGCGTATGCGTAGTACATACTTCTTGATCCAATGTTGCCACACTTTTCAAATATATTGTTTATTGTGAAAATATTAATTGTCAAATACAATCATAAAGGAATAATGATAATGAGTATTATTTCCATTTTCTGTTTCTAAGGGATACATACAACTGTATTTCATTTGTTAGTAACTTATGTTATTACGTATAGATTATAGCTTATTTCGTTTTATGTTGTATTTAGTTGGATGCATTAGTTATCAACTTCTTTATTAGTTTAAATTGTTAGATGATATGAGTAGATTAGGTTTTAATTTGTTTTTTTATTGGTACTCCATTTTGCTTATTTAAAGTACGCCGTAGCGTGTTTAACCACAGAATAAGAAACAATCATAATGCTCACTTTCAAATGCCGCCTTTAAAGTTTTTCAGCACGCTATCGCCATGTTTTAAACGGAACCATAGACTCGAATTGAGAAATTTGTGACAAGATACTACAAAACTGTAATTTAAATTTTTAGAGATTAATACTTAATTTAGTTAATTTGAAATAATTTTAATAATTAATAATAATTTTGAAATAAATTTAATAATAATTGGATTAGTTTGGATTTGGTTAAATTATGTTATTTATTAGTCAATATCGAGTTTTGCAAAAACACTAATTCTGCAACAATAATAAGTCATATACAGTATACTCTTATTAAAATTTAAATTCAATATATTTACTCCGAAAAAAACAAATGTGTATGTGGCAACATTGAACCTGCGTGGAATATCTTATGTTGTGCGCAAACGCGCTTGACTTGTTCTCCCAAATAAATGAATTTTGTCCATTTTACAATATTTTATATTTTTGGATAATTTAACGGAGAAAATGATTGGTATTTACAATTGATTTATAAATTTTATATAACTTTTACGGCTATTTCGTATTTCGATAATATTTTTCTCTTGCTAATTTTTTATTTTCTATACTTTTTATGAATTTTTTTTTACATTTTTTTACTTTTTGTATGTTTCCGTAGACGGAAACATGAAAATTTTGCCTTTTTTTCATTTTTCAGGCTAATTCCCCGAAAAATTCGCATTTTTAGGGACCCTTACTAATGTAAACAATTACCAAAAAAACTTTTTAAAAAACATTTTATCATATTTATTAAGAAAAACTTACCAACGCATTAGCTGATGGAACAAATGGAAAACTTTGACTATCCATAATAATAAAATTTAAAATATAACCAACTAATTAACTGAATAGAACTAACAAAAGAATTAAACAAAGATAATAAAACAATATTAAATTAAATAAACAACGCGAATAATACAAATATTTACTACAATATTTTAAATTGTAACAATTCAAATATTATATTTTAAATATACAGGGAAATTTGATGGGTTTAGTATACACTTCCACTATTTAGAATAATTCTTCTTTTTTTTCAAAGAAAGAGGTCTGTAATACTAGTATACTTGAGCTATTTATACTGAGAAGTAGGAATTGTTGTGTTGTAGGTTTCCTACAATGAGTCTGTCAAAATATGCCCTAGCATTGTTATTTCTCTATGGCCCTAGCTAAGCGAATAGACAATAACAAGATAAGATATTGCGCATAAGTCGTGACGTCATTGGAGAGTTGCACGTTCGAAATGTCGATGTTCGAAAATGAATGTTCGAAATTATTGTAATTATTGAACTTCTTAACTTATTTTCGTCCAGTAATTTCATCACAGAATGCACACAAATCCCATTTAACTTTAACAAAAATTCAAATTCTAAGATCCTATCTTGTTATTCATAGTATCATGATCACGGGCAGGAAGGAGTTTTGTCAGTAGGAAACGTGGCGTTGCTATGACGTTTTATCACTTAAAAATAGTCTAGTGAAATAGTCTTAAAAATGTGTTTTATGTCAATCCAAGAATATCAAAGTTTGTTGGTTTTTTGTTATTATCTTTGATATTGTTTAGGAATGATGATTGTTTAAATAGTTTATACTGCGTGTTTATAATCATAATCTCATTGTCTTCAGCAAATTCAAACATTCTCTAACCTCGATCGCTATAATTTGTTAAGTCCACTAAGGTTTTAAATGAAGGGGATAATATATAATACTTATGATATAAGATTCTAGAATCGTCGCTACTGAACAGTATTTTATGGAGACTAAGGGATAAAATATGTTGATACCGAAGAATATTTAAGGAAATATCTCGCTATAAGCAGTTTTGTAATTTTTGTGTTGGCTCGCAAAAGAATAGAGTCAGTATACTTTACAGCTACCAACTTGAATTAAAACAAAATACTGTTTCAAGAAATTAAGGCACTATAACCTTCAGTTGGACATTATAGATATGAATATTTTCAATAAAGATTGTCATGTTAAAGCTAATTACCAAATTTGCAAAAGTGAGCCTTAGAGGTAATTTACCACATATTAAGCAATAATCAATGAATAATTAGATCTTACCCTGACATCCTAATAAAAATTTGATAATAATTATTATTCAACTAGCTTGTCTCACTCACATCACTTCAAATCACTGAAACCTTGTTTGCACCATAAACTAGCACTTAAAACTAATATAAAAATAATTTATCTGTATTAAATTGCACGATGCTTTATAACAAATCAAACGAGGAATTTTTAATTTACCGATTTATGCATTATTTTCTTGGAGCAGTGTATTTGAACCGATTTTAGATAAAAATACTTGAAGATTTTACATATCTTGTTATTTTCCTTCCTCTTGTTCTTTCCTTCTGTCTTATGTTCCTTAATCTTCAGCAAAAACGTATAACAAAATAGTAATTTTGTGTAAAAAATTTAAATAAATGAATTTTAAATATGAACAGGTAGTTTTTTTAATAATCTCTAGCGAATCCCGAAAAGAGCATTAGCACGACATCTGTTATAACAAAATCAAACTCACAAAAATGACAATTACAGTGTTCACTATTTTTATCTGACATATAGAAAAATAGAAATATAAAAAAGTTTATTTCGACATGAAATTTATTTATATTTAATGAAATAACTTTCTGATTGCACAGAAACTGTACTAATGCTGTGATTTTTTAAATTCGTAATACAATTTTTATTTGTCATAAAAAAAACATACATAACCCCATATGTCATCTCTAAATATATTAGCAAAACTGCAACTTGCATAAAAGTTGATTTTGAATTTGAACACTACTTATTAAAAGTTATCTATAGTCATAGTCTGACCTTGGCCATTATCGTCAAGGATCTACGCTAAGTCAAAAAGGGGGTTAGATATTTTGACCTGTGGCCTGTGCCCTGTGGTATTACTTGATTAACAATTGGTGCCCACTTACAACCGGGAATAATTAACTATCACCACTGTTCAAATAACTTTGTAAAAATGCCTTTAACGGAGGAAGCTTCAAACAAAATATTTGGTGGTAACCAAAAAATATTTTCCCATACTTCCAAAGAGGTTGGAACTAAGATGAGGTTTGGAGTCTACTTACCCCCTCAGGTGGAAGAAGGCAAAAAACTTCCAGTTATTTATTGGCTGTCTGGTCTTACTTGTTCCGAAAACAACTTCATTGAGAAAGCAGGAGCACAAAGGTAGGTTTTAGCTATACAGATGTACTTATAATAGTAAGTATTTATTAGGAAAACTAGGTTTTGCGTACTTTATATTTCAAATATATTGTTTGTTCAAAAGTTCGTCTGCAGTTGAGCGCCGCTTAGAGAATTTCTGTCATTATTTTTACATAAAATGTTGAAATCTACTTCATTGGTTCAACTGTAAGTGCTATTTGAAACATGTTTGTCTTTATTTGTCTGTTTCTTGGTCATTATTGATTAAATGCAAGTATAAATACAAAAAAGATGTTAAATTCTGTCTTTTGGACATTTACCAAAACTTTTTTTCAAAAAAAAACAATATTTTAGTCAAATAATCTCCAAAAATGTTTTTTGAATGAAATCATATAATTATAATACTAGAATAACTCCCATTGATTTATTATAAGGTATGCTGCAGAGTATGGAGTAATAATTGTGAATCCTGACACTTCACCCAGAGGCCTTAACATTCCTGGTGATTCTGACAGTTGGGACTTTGGAGTTGCTGCAGGATTTTATGTTGATGCGACTCAAGAACCATGGAAAACAAACTACAGGATGTTCAGTTATGTTACTTCGGAGTTACCAAAGTTAGTGAATGCAAACTTTCCAGTAGCTGAAGGCCAACAGTCAATAATGGGTCACAGTATGGGAGGTCATGGAGCTTTAATAAGTGCTTTAAAGAATCCTGGATTGTATAAATCTGTATCAGCATTTGCTGCTATTTCTAATCCAACCAAATGCCCATGGGGGGTTAAAGCATTTTCAGGATATCTAGGGCCAGAAGAAAGCTCTTCTTGGACGGACTGGGATGCTACAGAATTAGTTAAAAAGTACAATGGACCTCCACTAGAGTTACTATTAGATCAGGTATTATAAACTTTTAATCTATCTTGTAAATAGAAAATTTGTGGTATTTCTTATATCAAACCTGTACCTCAGAGCTAAACTGTATTAACTCACAAAATTGAAATTTTACAGGAGAGCAAATTAAAAGAAATATAAAGAGTAAATTTTAAATAGAATTTTTATTTATTTTTCTTCAAGTATGTGACAAACACCTTTGAGAGGTATAAATGATACTATATATTACTGTATTTGTTATTTTTATAGATCTTTAATTTTTTGAAAAACATGGAGTTAATACTGTTTAGCGTGGAAACAATTACCATATTCGGGAGATAATATAATGGTAAGTTAACACAGGTGAATAAATAATCTGGAGATAATACGATAAATGAAACAAAATTTAGTCAAGAACACTTTTTTTTATTTAATTAAATGAAATAAACAAGTCAACAAATGATTAAACAAAATTAACGAAAAACGAAACTCAATGGATTGTTCACTTAACATTGTTTTGTAAAAATTTTATAAATCTTCATCTACTTTATCGGAGTGGGATAAATTTTTATAAAAATTATGAAATTCACTTGGAACCCAGGTGAGCAAACTTTGCAGATGTGTGTATTTTTTTGTAGATATTTCCTTTGGCTTATCGCGAATCACAGGCAGGACTGCAGGAAATACAACACGCCTAGTATTTCTGTTAAGATCAACAGATTGGAATGTTTCCGAATTAAAATTAGTTTTAAAAAAAAGTAATCCTAAATTATCGCTGCGTACTTGCAAGTGGACAACATCTGACATGCGAAAGTCTGTATTTTGCTGAGTTTTTTTCCTTATAACAAAAGGTGAACAGTTGTTGTTGTAAAGAGTCTTAAAATCCTTAAAGTCATTTAGTTCCATATTAATTACATTGAATGTTTTAGAACGACAGCAAAGTCGTGCTAGCTGCTGCCAGTCCCAGGGAGTCATGATTTTTAAAAAGGGTGTTTTCTTTCGTTCTCTCTCAATAAGAGAATGATCACTGTCCACTTCTAAATGGGTATGACCACGTAACAAAAACTTGTGATTTATAATTTTTATCTGTGGATACTTGTGAAGTATCCAAAAGTAAAGCATAACCATTATCATATTTCTGTTCTGGGATGGGCAGTTGTCGGACCATACAGTAATCTCTCTTATATTTTCATTTATAGCTTCAGTCCACCTCAAAAAGCCCGAAGCCATTTCGTTTGCGCCACGTCCAGACTTTGATTCATCCCACATCATGCAAGACGTAACATTACCTGAAGTGTCTGAAATCGTATAATTGTATGTCCATAACTTGAGCTTATAAAAACTCTGCTGGTTACTTAGAACAGGCGTTGGCAGACATTTCTGTAAATCCAGTGTCAATAATTTTATTGTTCCACCACTTGTTGCTGCTCTTTCCTTATCAAGTCTTTTTAATTCATACCTGTTACTAGCCTCCAAAAGATGTTGTTGATAATCTTGTTCAATATTTTCTTTTCCTTCTACCATCTGAATTTTGGCCAAATTTAATCTGTCACATTCATCACACGTGTCATTGTATGGAAGTTTAAATGAAAGATTAAATTCTGTGTTAAATATTTCAGAATACAGCCAAAGTTTAGCAATGTTTTCTTCGGGTGTATTGCTTTCCATTAACTCAGATCTGTATATCTCATACATTCTGGTAATATTTAGTTCACAACCAAGATATTTTTTCTGAGAACGCTCTCTAGAATAATGCGATTCAATAGTTGGGAACTTGCTAATATGATCCCGAATGCCTTGTTTGATGAATTCGGGAATTTTATTGACAGGCTCACGTTTACCCCTTTGGTCTGTATTAACTACTCCACATTCCTTTTTCTTCGCAAGAGCTGTTGTAACGAATGTCTCGGATATACTTAAGGTAGACAGAAAGAATTTCTGACAAACTTTATACCTTACATGATTAAAATATAATGAATAACGCCTGGTAAATTCCCTTATGCCAGAACGTGCTCCTGTGGTTTCCCGGATACGTCTCACAGGTACGCATTCTACCATTGCTGCTACAAATTGTCTTTTCATGTCGATGTTTTTATTAGGATCCCAAAATTCAGAATGTATGCAACGTCTTTGATCTTCAGTTATAGCTTTTGTGCACCCAACCCTACAGGTTTCTTTACATGGTGCTCCAATTTGCTTCGATTGCAAAACTGTATTCTTGGTTTGGCGTTTTTTACCACCGGCCACTTGTTTTTTACGAACATTCCGTTTCCAACGCAGAGGATTTGATTTCCTTTTTTTACCTGGGAGTTTTTGATTATCTGACTCACTTTCAGAATTATCTGTTTCGTTGTCAGTTGGTCCGTATGTTTTATCATTGATAGAGTCATCAGACTCCAAGCATAAATCCGCGTGATCTACCTCTTCTCTATCTTGCACTACAATTGCCATACTTTGAGGACTACAGGTAATGGGTAAAGCAGTCTGTAAAATGATTCCATTTTCTGAAACTAAACAAAAAAATATTATGATTCAAATAGGAAATTGTGAAGTATAAATAATTATACCTGTTGTTGAGACAAGTTCTACAACATTTTGTGTATAAAGACTTGTGGATCCATGATTCAGTGTTGATATTGTACCATTAGTGTAATTTCCATCTAAGGATATGGGCAAATTGATTTCTAAAAATTATAAAACATGTACATATTTTATTTATTTACAAAAACCGAAATAATTGTGTTATACCTTTGCTCGAAACAGATGGCGAAACATTGTCTATAACAACTTCGCAAGATACAGGTGAGGCAATTTTAACATTAGAAATAATTTTAATAGGCATATTTTGGTTTTTTGTACCTTCATCAAGATCGCCGACTTTTCCTAAAACATAATTACTGTTATCCTAATTTAATAACTACATTTAATATTTAAGTTATAAACCGAATTATGGAGTTAATACAGTCTGTCGGTCTTAAAGTAATTATTGTGTACTAAGTCCATTTTTAATACAAGGATTTTCGGTTAAAATACCACGTAAAATCGCCCAAATATCTAAATACGTATTAAGTTTTTATGTAATATTGAAGGCTAATAATTTTTTATTTTAAATAAATTTGTTAAGACGTACCTATTTTGAGGTTAGATTTATTTATCGCCGACGAAGAGGATAATGCTTGATTGTTTTCCACAGAATCAGTACTGCATTGCGTCGGAGAAGTAAAGCATACCTCTTGATGCTTTTCTAAAGCTTTTTTCACAATTTTATCTGCTCTGGTACACATTCTTTAGAATGTTATTAAACACACACCATCAATGTGAAATAGCATAAACACACTGACTACAGTGCCACACCGCGGTTTTTACGTCGTTCCGTGGAGTTAATACATCTTAAATGTGCATGTGATATTAACTCCACTAATACTACTAATAATACTTACATTGCTGGGTATTAAGTGTAAACGACTGTTTAGCTCGGAACTACTGAGGGACTTAATACACTTTATGGTTGCTTATCTTTGAAACTACATTAAATAGGATTTAATATCGTATTGCATATGAAAGATGTGAAGTCTGTTATGTAGAAAGTGAAATAATACAATTTTTCAAAAAAATGGAGTTAATACAGTTTAGCTCTGAGGTACAGAAACTATGTACAGGGTGGTGAATTGTCAAACAGGCCATAGGAAATTCAATGTGAAATTCTAAATTGTTGAATTCCTGCTTCCCTAATTATTTTACATCAAAAGTCATAAGAAACTATTTGTAGAGGATTGAAATATATATTCAAAACAAATGCTAAAAATGTTCTATGAATTAAATGTATTTCAAAATTTTGTAAAAATATAATACATTTTTTAGGCCACCCATTAAAGTCAGGCCACACAAGGTACAAGAATGTGTATGACATTGCGTTTGGTCATATTTATGTTTCTGATATTTCACAATATTTGAATAGCCATAATTTTGTGATTTATTGTTTAAAAAATAATATAGTTGATTAAAAAATGTATTCAGTTGAGGAGAAAGTAGCAATAATAATAATGTTTTATTCAGGCAATAGTGCGCGAAGTTTCAGTTCTGTATGTAGCGTAAGATATCCAAATAGACCAATTCCAAGTCATTCAACAATTCAAAGGATTTTACAAAATTTTGAAGATACTGGGACCATGATTTCTAATTGTACCTGTACAAACAATATTGCTGAGGTATCAAAAAATTTGAAAAATCAAAATGAATTAAATGTATTAACATCAGTTGTAGAAAATCCTAGAATAAGTTCTCGGACCATTGCAGACCAGTTTAATATTCATAATTCTACGGCCTTAAAAATTTTGAAAAGCAATAAATTTCAATGTCATCAAGAATTAAGAGGAGATGCTGAGCGACGAGCGGAATTTTGTTATAAAATTTTAGAGAGGGCTTATGCAGACAATTTTTAACAAACATTTTGTTTAGTGCTGATGTACATTTACATTAAATACTGAACTAAATGCTCAAAATTATAGGATTTGGTGTTGTATAACCTGGAATTGAATCGGAGTGTATTATCATATATTAAAAAAGAAATAAGTTTCTTACTTAAACAATGATATTATATTTTGTGTTAAATAAAGATCTGGCAGTGCTTGCACTATTGTTTGAATACAACATTATTGAGATTTTCATGAACTGAATACATTTCATCAATTTTATTGCTTTGTAAACAATATAATTTATTATACAAAGTACTATTTATTGTTTACTAGTAGTAGTAGTATTTGTGAAAATTGGCATATTTTAGTATTTGTGTATAATTTAATCACAAAACAAAAATAATGGCAATTCAAATATTGTCAAATATCTGAATCATCAAAATGACCAAACGCAACATGGCATACACATTCTTGTACCTCGTGTGGCCTGAATTTAAGGGGTGGCCTGAAAAATGTATTATATTTTTAAAAATTTTGGAATACACTTAATTCGTAGAACAATTTTAACATTTGTTTTGAATACATGTTTCAGTCCTCTACAAATAGTTTCTTATGACTTTTGATGTAAAATAATTAGGGAAGCAGGAACTCAACAATTTAGAATTTTGAATACATGTTTCAGTACTCTACAAATGGTTTCTTATGACTTTTAGACTTTTTTCAAACAATTTAGAATTTGCCATTAAATTTCCTATGGCCCGTTTGGTGATTCACCACCCGGTATATTTTGGCTATTTTTCAAGTTTTAACTTCAAATTCTTTCGTTTTTTATTAAATTTTGTGAAAATATAGAATACATAATTAATGTTTCTGTTGTTTTTATGATTATGTATACAATTTACTGTTTTTATTGATTTTTATTCTTTTGTAGGGTTTAGAAGACAATTTCCTTAAAAGTGAACAACTATTACCAGAAAATCTAGTCCAAGCATGTAAAGCTTCTGGAGTACCAGTAATTTTAAAGAAGAGGGAAGGATATAACCACAGTTATTTTTATATAGCATCATTTATTGGGGAACATATAAAATATCATGCTGAACATCTATTGTCGAAAAAGTTATAAACTATCAATAATATTTTTTTGCAAATTATATATTTAAAATAAATAATTTGAAACAAAATCTTCAGTTTTTTTACAGTCCATGGTCTCATACATCAGTTTATTATGGTGTGTAACAATTTCATACAAAAAAAGTAAAACCCTTTAAACTTACAAGAAAATTGAAGTATGAAATCGTTGTCTAACAAAAAAATCAGGACACAAAAAATATATGTTGCAGCAACATATTATTAGAATCAAAAAGAGTGTGGCACTTGGAGAGTACCGACAAAAGTAAATACGTTTTATAGTATGTTATTACTAGGTTATGATATTTTATGCCTATTTATTACTGAATTGTTAATATTGTTTATAATTACAATACACATTTAAATTCTTTCAAATTTAAAAAATATAAATTATTCTATTTAATGATTTTAGTAATTTTAAATATTTGTTAAATATTATACCTATAGAACTTATTCATCATTAAAGCTCGGATTATAGGCAAAAGGCCTTTTTTGCCTATTATAATTGTTTTTTCACTTTTTGCCTTTTTTTGTAAATTCCGCCTATTTGTGCTTTTTTTTTTAAATTTCATGATACTACCCATGATATTATTCTATTACTAAACCATTATATATTAAAATTTTGGGTCAATATTGTTTATATAACAGATTTCTAGGAAAATGTACCTGATCGAGACTTGAGGGTTAACTATTTGGAAATCCCTAAGCTTTATTAGTTTATTATCATGATACTATCTATAACAACAAGATATGCTCACTTGCTGTTAATTTTAATTGACTTTAAGCATATGGTCATAGCGAGACAAAGCTAGCGGACTTGTATGTATCATATTTTAACGATGTATCATATGGCAACATTTTTCCATTATTGTAATGAACAACTTCAAAACTTAAACTGTTAACGGTAAGTATACCTCGATGCCATTTCTTGCACTATTGCCTATATTTTGCCTAAATGTCAATATTCGTGCCTTTTTTAATAAAAATATTTGCCTATATAGGCGCCTTTTTCTTCAATTTTTGTTGCCTATAAATCCGAGCTTTATTCATCATATACATATTCATTATTATCTTCTATTTATTCTTAATTATTTCATTTTGATAATCATTATATTCTAAAAAATATTTTTGAATAATGGGAGGGAATAATAATTAATTTTCATTAAAAACATTTCAATTTGTAAATACTTATCTGTGCAACAATAAAATTTCTAAAATAACCTTCTGTTTATTTTATTTTTTTTTTATAATTCTGTTTAATTTTTATTTTATTTCATCCAAATATTTGAAAATTAGGTACTTAATTATTTAGTAAGCAGGAACACCTCAGAAATGCCCAATTTTTTGTGGACTTGCCAAAAAAGTGAAAAAAAACCTCAAATTTTAATGTTTTCTTTGCTGTAAACTAATAAAAGTGTCCAAATAATCAAAAAATTCAGAAAAAAAAACAAAAAAAGTATTATGAACCAAAAAAAATTTACATAAAAAGCAAAGAAAAGTATATACACAGGCTTATTAAAAAAACGTTATTAAATATATCTGTTTGTTACTGTTAAATTATGAAAAAATGCATAAATTTTTTTAAAATAATCGAGATTTTTAATATTTCAAAACAATATGGCGGCCATGCGCAAGAAGTTAAATTTTATGTAAATTTGACATTGTTGCCAGTTTTAACGTTTAAAATACCTCAAATGTATAATTTAATGTTTAAAATACCTAAATCTAAAATATTTATTAGCATAAAATTTTATATTTTTCTTTACATTTTATTATTAAAAATATAAACCAATAAATCAAATCTAACCTAACACTGGTAAAAAAAGTAGTAATAAGAATTAAATGTTATAATATATTTCATAAGAAAACATGCCAATAAAAGTAAACCAACGTAACCAAATCTAACCTAACGCTGGTAAAAAAGCAGTAATAAGAATAAAATTTTGTAATATAATTAAAAATCAAAATTTTTATTTTTCACAAAAAAAGATGATAATAAACGTAAAGTACTTTACCAAATCTAACCTGACCCTTGTAAAAAAGTTATAATTTTCAGTTAAAAGTAGGTAATAATAAAATGTTATTTAATGTCCAATTTTAAGGTAATTATGTCCAAAATTTTTATTTTTCACTAGAAAACATATTTTGTCTAACTATGGCAGCACTGGTTAAAATTACCCTTATTGGCCATAAGAAACAGTTGTCATTCCTGACATTTCTTCTTGTTTCATGGAATGGCGGTGGCTTTTAAAAATCGGGCATATTTTAAGTGGAAATTACATTTAAAAAAAAAAACGTTTTTCCACCGAATAAAAATTATTGCACAATCATTAGTAAGTGAAGCAGAATTTATTGATATAAATTTCATCTCCCTAGACATCGTTCCGGCTTATACACTAGTACCGAAAATAAAAATTAACCATCGATACAGTCGTTCTCGAGTTGTTATAAAAAATAATTAAAATTGTAATTATTTTACATGTATGTTTATTATGACTACGGTATACCGCAAGGATACTACACGCGTCTCTATATCTTTTGTATGTTAAGATGAATAGCTATATAACACACTGGGAAAAGGCCAATCGAATATGAAATCGAAATGATTGACACAATCGATTTAAACATCGCGCATCATTCCGTTGTTTGTTGAATTTTTTAGTTAGTTAGGTTAATTTCTTCATTAATCTTGCTTCTGTTGTAGAACACACGTGTTTACCAAAATAATTTATTTTTAAGTATACCGACTGCAAATATTCATAATGGCTAACGATTTGGAGCAGAAGATCATCAAGCAAATCGAATATTACTTTGGGGATATCAATTTACACGTGATAAGTTCTTACAAGAGAAAATAAAAGAGGATGAAGGGTGGATAACTTTGGATGTTTTGTTAACGTTCAAACGTCTTTCGTCGTTATCTACTGACCAAGAAGTAATCGCGAAGGCAATTGAAAAATCTGAAAATGGCCTAGTTGTGGTAAGCGAAGATCGTAAAAAACTTAGACGCAATCCAGAAAAACCGAGTCCAGAATTAAATGATGAAAGACGCAAAGAGATCATGGAGAGGACAGGTATGTGGTAATTTGTATTTCATAGTTCATAGGTAAATTTGTTGGTCTTGATTTGATATATTTGGTCTCTATTATTTTTAATTCAGTTTTTAATTTTTGTTTTAGCTATTTTTGAATAATTGGTTCCAATATTATTTTTTTCACAATGCTCTCAATTATTACAACATAAATCGGTTGAAATGTTTGTTCTACAGATAAAAATGCATCGAGCATCGGTAGAATTTTCTATCAATTGTGTTGATGTTTTTGTGGATTGTTAATTATCTCAACTTTTTCAAGTTTTGACTTCAGTTTATTAAAATTAATAGTTCTATTCTTTTTCTTGGGCTAATCATCTCTATATATGAATTGTTTATTGTTGAAAGGGGGTAGCAACATTTTCTACTTTTCAAGACACATGAAATACCTTTTATTATGTACTTTATAACATTTATTTGGGTGTTACGCATAAACGGGCACTCTAACCTAATATTCATTGTCATGTCTCATATCTCTCTTTCTGTGTTTGACATTGGTTTGTTCACTCTTCAATTTTTTCTTTTTTAGAGAAGGGTTTTTACTGTAACTTAAAACAGTCGCAAATGGCGCTTACTCCCTTTAACAATAAAAGATTCATATATTATTTTAAAAAATACTATTAACAAAATAAATCAGCTAATCTATTTATTGTATTTCTATGTTTTAGCATATGCGAAAGGTTTTCCGTTGGATGAAGATTTTAACAACATTATGAACTTCTTGGAGTCACATGGACCAGTTGAATCATGCAGTCGTAGATCCAACAAAGATCATAAATTTAAGGGTTCATGTTTTATTATTTTCAAAGACGTTGAAACCTGCAAAAAATTTGTTGAACAAGAAAGCGTGAAATATGGGGAAACAGAATTAATCAGAAAATTCCAAAAGGTATATTTTGATGACAAAAAAAAAGAAGTACAGGACAGAAAAGATCAGAAAGCTGCTCACAGGGCAAGTGAAAAATCGGGCACACCACTTCAGTTCCCCAAAGGAGCAGTGATTCATTTCTCTGGAATTGAGGAAGGTGTAACTGTATCAAGAGAAGAACTTAAAGAGAAGGTGAAAGAAGTGAGCAAAATGGAAGTCAAGTTTGTTGATTTTGATCAAGGAGATTTGGAGGGATATTTACGTTTTGCACAAGAAAACGAAGCTGTCGAATTCTTTAAAACAGTTGATAATGCCACACTTGAAATTGGAAAGTCCAACATTAAATTGAGAGTGTTAGAAGGAGACGAAGAAGATGAATATTTAAAGAAAACTTCAGATTCTATTCTAAAGATCAGAAAAAATAAGAAACAAAATTCAAATAATAGAAAACGAAAGGGTAACTTTGGTGGTGGAAGAAGAGATGCAAAAGTTAGTAAAAGGAACTAATACACAAAAATATGTTATCATTTATTATCTAATTGTTTAGATATTGTAAAAATTAGGTTAAAAATAAAGGTTTTTTTACAAATATTGATTTTGAATCCATTAGCTGACATAGTTCAAAATAATGTAGTTTCATTGTTATGTTCAATATTTTTCTGTTTTGTACATATATAAAAAAATTGGAAATTTAGGGATCATGATCACGATAATAATCATCAGTCTTTTTGCACTTAACATATTTAGGTACATTCACAATAAGTTAAAATTTTAGATACTAAAAACATCAATCTCCTTCAAAATATGTCATGGCTATGCAACTCTACCACATCTTTTTCTCTTACTCCAGAAATTTTCAACTCAGTATTTCTTTATATTTTATTTTAAGACTCCATTTTATGTTCTAGCTCATTTTTTCACTAAAGAAACCTTATCTTTTATCATCTGGCATATGATTTTTTGTGACTTAATATGTACCATAACTGCTAGTTCTAAATTATTGTCACTCCGTAAATCTTCTACTTCTGTCTATCAGTAATTGTACCATTTACCAAAATCTTACTTTTCCCTATAATACTACACTTTGTAGTATATAGGGAGTTCATCTAATCTATTGAATGCAAGAAATGGCTGACAAATGAAATTTGGTTCAGTCGTCCCTTTCATGCGAAACACAGTGTACTAAGCAACTTGAAAATTTGGTTATTCGTTTTGTTGACTTCTCAGTATTAACTTCAACCCATTTGTGTAAATTTTCTCCCGTTTCCCTGTAGCTTACTCAAATTAATTAAAAACTTTTCTCACATTTGTTTAATTCAGTAATTGAAAGGGTAAGGGTAACAATTATTACTTGATAAATAAATAATAATAGGATAGGTAGGTAGTTTATAATAAATTAAACATTAAAGAAATTTAAATAAAATTTATTAATATATTTTATTTCTTGAGACTGGTGCAAAATAATGAAAATTGTAGTTTGCTTAAATTAATTTTTTAATATTTTATTTTTGATAATCTACTTTCCAAAACTACTTCAAATGTTAGGAGTTATATTGATTTGAATCTACATTTTTGAAATATATATTTTATACATCTTGTTCTTAAATGAAATAAAGGAAACTTTTTTTAAATTAAAAAATAATTGTTAATAAAAAGAAAAATTCCAATGCTTAGTTTGTATAGGTACATAGTTATTCTTAACATTTTTTACAATTGATTATTACAATGAATAATAGCACTGTTGTTCCAGTCAGGGTCGACAGATAATCTATGTGTATAAATTTTTGAGAAAAAAAACGACACGAAACCTTGTGTTTTGAATATGGTTGTTGAAGACACTTGAGTTTCTAAAAGTAGTGTCCAAAGAATTATTAAAGAAGGAAATAGTTATCTAATATCTTTAAATCCGCCAGAAAAATGTCAATCAGTCAAAGCCAAAAACAAACGTCGATGTTTATGAAGAAGAAATTATAAGAAATACAATTCATTCCTTTAAAATGATTGATTCCAGCAGACCTACAATATCAGCTGTTTGCAACGCTGTTAAGAATGATATTAATTTCCAAGGAAAATTATCGTCAATTACTGTTTATAACTGGGAATAAGCCACAATTAAAGATAAAAATACGTTTATTGACGTTTCAATTTCCAATTCGGAAATTTTGAGAACGATTTCCGAATTGGAAATTGAAACGTCAATAAACGTATTTTTATCTTTAATTGTGGCTTATTCCCAGTTATATATAACTAGTAATTAATTTACAATGCCACAAGAAAATAGCTTCAGAACAGTAAAAATTATCGTCGTTCAGAAACGTGGTGAAAAAATTATGTTTTAAATGGCAAAAAAAGACAACAGAAAAATACTTATTTTACGACAACTTTGCCAAATGGTTTCAAGAAAAGTTAGTTCCCAACTTGCACCAGAAAACCGTGCTTGTATTGGGCAACGCATCCAAAAAAAGGACATGCAGCAAAGGCGCAGTAAAATGTGTTTATTTTGAAGTGGCCGATACAAAACCTCTACAATAAATGCGAGGAATACCTGGATGACATTCAGTTTGGTTTCCGTAACGGGTTTGGAATGAGAGAGGCACTGTTTGGAATGAACCTACTTGCTCAAAGATGTCGTGATATATCTGTAGACATATACTGTTGTTTTATTGACTTCCAAAAGGCAAAATGATCGTGTTAAGCACTCTATATTGATCGAAGCTCTAAAAGGCATTGGCTTGGACGGCAGAGATGTTCGAATAATTGCAATTTTATATTGGAATCAAACAACATCAGTTTTAGTAGATGGTGTGGAATGACAGGCTCTCAGTATTAAAAGAGGGGTACGGCAGGGATGCCTCTTGTCACCCCTGCTTTTTAACGTTTACCTCGAAAGAATTTTCAGAAAAGCACTTTCTGAAAAACAAGAAGGAATACCTACTTGTGAACGGCGAAGTCATCAATAATTTGCGATATGCGGACGATACAGTACTCCTAGCTTCTAGTCAAGAAGATCTGCAAACACTACTTGAGAGTTGTAGGGAGACAGGTCTGGATCTGAACATACGGAAAACCAAAATATATAGTTTATTCGTCTTCCGGGTTTGGACCGTGTCATTTGTGAGTGACCCCAAAGTGGGTTCATCTCGACGTTTCGCTACAATTGTATGTAGCTTCTTCAGGAGAACAAAGAAAAAGAAATCAAAAGACAGGAAGATGGGTAGTTAGAATAGATACAAACAGTCAATTTACTGTTTGTATTTTGAGAACGATTTCCGAATTGGAAATTGAAACGTCAATAAACGTATTTTTATCTTTAATTGTGGCTTATTCCCAGTTATAAATAGTAATTAATTTACAATGCCACAAGAAAATAGTTTCAGAACAATATTAAGTTATGTACTATGTACGTCCCAATGAACATCCCTGGAATGTCCAATGGACGTACTTATGTTAACAATTAGGTCTTATTGGACGTCCCGGGGACGTCCTTCCTTCCTTATCTTATTATCTTCTATCCTTTAACATTGTATTAAAAAACTAAAAGGAAGTATTTTCCCCCCAAAGAGGGGAAAAACCAAAGCGTCATCGTCTAACAATTGCCGACGATCGAAAAACACTGCGATAATATTAAAAGAAGTAGTAGTAATTCATAAAGGAACTAAGGAAAATTTGAATGGACGTGTAATGAAAAGAAACGACAAGGAAGATCATAAGTGTCTACTACTATAGGAAAACATTTACAAAAATTCACTATCAGAAATTTGAATTTTCGTTTATACACTCTCAGTGTCTACAGAAATAATCGAATTAGTTCATCCTTTCAATCATCGAATATCGAGAACTAATTGTTTCCTTCCAGTTCCAGGTATTCGTTCACTGTCACTGTCACCTGTGCTGTCACTACTATCGAGAGAGAAAGATGATTATTTATTTGTGTAAAATAGTTAACCTTAAATTAATTTTAACTTAAATTAACACTATCTTAGGTATAACAAAAGTATGGTTAAGTAAAAAGAACAATTCAAAATTGCAGATTTGGTAAATATCTTAACTGAGTTTTTGGCTAATTATATAACGTAGATAATTTTAAGGTAATCCAATATGAATGGAACTGTACTCTCTCACAGGAATATTAATTGGAAAGAATTTGCTTGTGGTTGGGGAGCAGCCCTTATAAATGTATCCGTCACTTACCCAATCAATAAGTTAATATTTCGACAGGTAATGCTTTAAGTAAAATAATCAGTGTTCTAAAGTTGGTGGTTTTTCACAGACATATTGTATTACTCTTTGTGTACACCATCCTTGATTTTAGAATTGAGCTTATACAATTATATTAAACAAGTTGTATATGCTCTCAAGTACTTATAGATCCTTAACATATTTATAGGTTTAGCATTAGCAAAAATAACCATAACACACCCAAAATCACAACTGAAATAAAAATTGGATCTTTGTCTGTGGGTTTTTATTTGTATTCAAGATTTTTTACTTGTGATATAGCATAATGCAGCTTGTATTAAACACTATTTATTTCTATAGTGATTAATTCGAAAATGTATAGTTTAAAATTAATGGACACCAAACTATTGTAATAAGTTTCCTTTAAGTGTGACTTTCTTTTTACAATGTCTGATTTCAGATTATGCTAAATGTTTTTCTGCTTTGTAAGTTTTGATGTTGAATACCATAGATCTTTATACATTCTTGTCTGTTCTATATAGCAAAATATCTGATCAGGTTTTTGTTCTATTCATTTCTTTTCTTCATGTGTTTCTTAGAATTGCTAAGTCTTCCAAGGCAGTTTTTCCTAAACATAATATCTTGAACAATTTTATCAGTGCATTACATACAGTTATTTTTTAATATTGTAGCAACACAGTTCATTGAATTAGGTAGTTGTTTTCCTTGAATATTTATTAAAACTCTTCCAGATAATATATTTACTTGAGTATTACTACCAAAAAGTTGTTGTCAGTCTCAATAGTGCAATGAGGAAAGTTTTAGCTTGGTCAGTTCAGTTAATCTAGTGAGATAGGGTATAATTAATTACTTTTTCTAAAGACAATGATACAGATTTTATACATAAGGCATTTACTCAAGACTGACACAACACACACCACAAAAAAGTTTACATCATAATACAATTGAAAATAAGAGAGATCCAATTGTTTTGTTTTTATTATTTGGTACATTTTAGTGCATAAATTTATATTATTGTTTCTGTCTTCAAATATGTTTTTATTCAAGATTTTATGATCTTTTAGTTTTATTTATACATAAAAAATGCAAAATTATTTTGTTCTTTACTTCCATTGAGATTAAGACATAAAAGAGCCAATACATATGGTGGCAGGGTTGGGCTGTTTTAAAACAAGCTTTTTAAAACAATGTTTTAAAACATGTTTAAAAACACTGAAAAAAAAACAGTTGCGTTTTAAAACACTGTTTTAAAACATTGTTTTTGCCATATTGGCAGCATTGTCAGTGACAAAACTTGTTACATTACATTTAAAATCTTCACTACATTTTTTATATACCTATTTAGTGACGAAAAATGCAGTACATAAAAACAATCATTATCGCCCAAAACTTACCTTTGTCTGAATCGGAGTTGTCAGGATCATCGGAAACTTCACTAATTTGAGCTTCCTCTGGCTCCTCAAAATCAACATTCGTTAAAGTTAAAACACATTTTTCATGATGCTTTTTCATTCTTGCAACTAAGATGGACAATTGCTTCTTGCATTTTTTACACTCAGCTTTAGACACTGTCTTTTTACTTTCTCTCCCATCCTCAAAATTGATATTCACTTTAATTAAATTAAAATTTATCCAAATTGGATCTCTCTGCCTTCCTTGACTTGACATAATAAACTTAATATAATTTACACTGTATACACTGCAAATATCGACTAGAAATTAAAATCGAACTGAAAATATCAATATGAAATTATATTATAATAAAGCAGAACTTAAAGCTTCCAACATATCCTGAAAAACTGAAAAGCGAATTTGATTTACATAATATTACCTGGTATAAGGAAACGAAACAGTTACAACACTCATTGCATGTGCGCGCAGGTCGCGTTTTCGCGGGAATTCCATATGTGTGCCATTTGAGGTTTATGGGAATCCCCTTTAGAAATCCAGTGAAGTACGTAATTATTTTGAAACGTTTTTTTTTGTTTTAAAAGAGTGTTTTTTTTTGTTTTAAAAACAGTGTTTTTTTGTTTTAAAACAGTGTTTTTTTTAGATGAAAAATAAAAAACTGTTTTAAAACAAAAAACATTGTTTGTAAACAAAAAAAAAAAACATGTTTTTTGTTATTTTTTAAACATTTTTTTGTCCAACCCTGTATGGTGGTGGAGAAAAACTAGAAGTGGAAACTCCTAATGTATTCTAATGCTACAGTAAACAATTAGGCTATGTAACAACTCACTAATTTATTATCCATTTATATTGTAACATCTCTAATATTTTTTTAAAATCCTTGACATGTGTTATTCTGACCAATAGCTTTAGATATTTTGCGATATCATATATATAAAAGCCAATTGTACTGACAATCAGTCATAAAGGACCATTGTAGTTGTGAATTTTTTGTTCTCTGTCTTCATTCCTCAGTTCTCCTCACATGGCAATACTCTACCTTTACTAGCACCCCACATTGTGTCTTTGTTTCTTATGTGGTCTATTCTAATTGTATAAGCTTTACTTCTTAGTTCTTAGTATGTTTTATTTCCAGTATATGTAGCATTCTTTATGTTTTTTTAACCTCCTTTCATGTTTCTATGCTTCTGGTTCAATATCCAAAAAATGTACAGTATTCTAAATAACTTAAATGTCCTGACACAACTGATGCTTTGATGCTAGATATTTGAATTGTGATATCTGTACTACAGTTTTTTAGTTGACCACATATTTGCATCATATTGTGTCCTTAGCCATAATCCCCACACAACTGCTAAAATTGACTTTTGCAGCCATCCCCAAGAAGTCAAGTGCACAACATACACACAGATCACAGAACAATAGCTTTTATGAGTCTTGAAACCCTTTAAACATTATTGAAGATCATACATTACTGATACTTGGGTAGTAATATCCAAAAAATGAAAATATTCTTTGGGAGAAGAAGAAGAAATGAGAAGACCTGGGAAAAATATAAAGCAGATTATATTGTAAGAATGATAAAGCATCCCTGAGCATCATGGTGTAGTCTATCATAAGTAGTCAAGGAACTGATAGACTACATCGTAGGAGGAACAATGCGGTAGGACCAGTACTTGAGACTGCTGAAAACAAAAATGATTCCAATTCATCAAAATTGACAGAAATGCATACAAAGTATGCCAAGAAGATGCCAGGCAGTTATTGCTGCAAAGGATGACACTACCAAGTATCAGGCTGAAGGCATAATTTTAAGTGTTTTCATGTAATTACTAGTTTCTTTTTTAATATTCTTAAACTTTATAAGAATCTAAATCACAGTAAAATAGAATTAAGCACAAAAATATGTTTTATAAAAATTAATAATTTTATCATAATTGCATACATCATCATACAGAAAAAAATAGCTCACAGGAATTTTAAAGCATGTACTGATAGTGAGTATAATTTACTTAATTTTGAATTAGACTATAGTATGAATTTCCAGATTCTGAAGTTTAGTCTGATTGATGTTTTCGAGGGGATTATGAGTTTAAAAAGTACATATTCTTCAGGACCTGATAATATACCTGCAGCACTTATTAAGAACTGTATTTTTCCCTTTGTAAACCTTTACAACAAATTTTTAATCATTGTTATCATTTGTATTTCCACAATATTGGAAAATAGTTTTCTTACACCTATCTATAAATCCAGCAATCGTGAGTGTGTTAACAATTATAGAGGCATAACTATTCAATCAGCAATCCTGAAACTTCTTGATAAATTGGTATCGATAAATCTCACCTGGGTTTGCAGAAACATAATTATTGATGAACAACATGGATTTTCTAATGGGAAGTCATCAGTAACAAACCTTGTTAATTACCAACAAGACTTGTTGGGTGCATTTGTGAATAAAATTGAGGTCGACAGCATTTACACTGATTTCTCAAAGGCCTTTGACCGGGTTAATCATAACCTTTTGGTCCACAAACTTCATGCATCTGGCTTTGGTGACCCCATTGCTAATTGGATTCAAAGTTTTCTGATGGGACATACACACCAAGTTCATATTAACAATTATATTTCAAAAGAATTAAATTGCTGTTCTGGTGTTCCACAAAGGTCTCATTGTGGTCCTTGTTTTTTAACTTGTTAATTAACAATATTGGTAAGGGTACCAAAAACTAACACTTTCTGCTATTCGCTGATGATCTTAAGTTATTTAGTTGTATACATGATAAATCCGATAAGTAACATATGTTTATCATCACCAATCAACCAATCGCGTCCACTGCTGGACATAGGCCTCTCTCAGTTCTTTCCAGTGTTCTCTACACTGGGCCGCTTGTAGCCAGTTTCTCACTACATGTTTTATATCATCGGTCTATCTAGTAGGTGGTCGTCCTTAGCTTCTTTTATAGTTTCTGGGCCTCCATTCCATAATATGTCTTGTCCATTGTCTATCTTGTCTACTGACTAAGTGTCCTGTCCAGTTCCATTTAAGCGTCGTGGTTCTTTCGATGACGTCTTGAACTCCTGATCTTTGCCTGATTTGTTGGTTTGTTATGTGGTCTCGAAGGCTCACGTTCAGCATTGCACGTTCCATAGCTCGTTGTGTAACTCTGAGTTTATTCGCAGATTTTTGTGTGAGTGTTAAAGTCTCTGCTCCATAAGTTTGTACAGGCAAAACACATTGGTTATAAACCTTTCGCTTGAGACACATGGGAATTGAACTTTTTAGAATATGGCTTAATTTGCCAAATGCTGCCCATGTTAGGCCTATTCGCCTCTGGATTTCATGTGTTTGATTGTCTCTGCTTATTTTGATTTCGTGTCCCAGATAGTTGTGAGTGTCTGTCTGAAACAGATACTCACATATGTTTATGGTCAAAACAAAATGGTTTAAGCTTAAATCCAACTAAATTTTCTTGTATTTAATTTCATCATCAATCAGCCAATCGCGTCCACTGCTGGACATAGGCCTCCCTCAGTTCTTTCCAGTGTTCTCTACACTGTGCCGCTTGTAGCCAGTTTCCCGCTACACGTTTAATGTCATCGGTCCATCTAGTCGGTGGTCGTCCTCGGCTTCTTTTATAATTTCTGGGCCTCCATTCCATAATATGTCTTGTCCACCGTCCATCTTGTGTTCTGGCTAAGTGCCCTGCCCAGTTCCACTTAAGCGTCGTGTTTCTTTCGATGACATCTTGAACTCCTGATCTTCGCCTGATTTGTTGGTTTGTTATGTGGTCTCGAAGGCTCACGTTCAGCATTGCACGTTCCATAGCTCGTTGTGTAACTCTAAGTTTATTCGCAGATTTTTGCGTGAGTGTTAAAGTCTCTGCTCCATAAGTTTGTACAGGTAAAACACATTGGTTATAAACCTTTCGCTTGAGACACATGGGAATTGAACTTTTTAGAATATGGCTTAATTTGCCAAATGCTGCCCATGTTAGACCTATTCGCCTCTGTATTTCATGTGTTTGATTGTCTCTGCTTATTTTGATTTCGTGTCCCAGATATTTGTAAGTGTCTGTTTGTTCTTCTTCTTCAAGTGCCGTCTCCATCAATGGAGGTTAGCGGTTATGGTGGCAAACGTTTGTCTATCTTCAGCTGCTCTTAAGAGTTCCTCAAATCCAAGTCCTGTCCAGTTTCTAATATTACGTAACCAGGACAATTTTTTTCTTCCAATTCCTCGCTTTCCTTCTATTTTGCCTTTTATTATCAACTGAGGGATGTAGTATTTCTCGTTGCGCAACAAATGCCCTAAATAACTGGTTTTTCTTCTTTTGACTGTTCTCAATAGTTCTGTTTCTAAATTGAGTCTAGCTAGTACTTCTTCATTTGTTTTTCGTGCTGTCCAAGGAATGCTGTCCATGTCTGTTTGTTGTATGGTATTATTGTCAATAGTTATATTTCCACTCATTACGAGATTTGTTATAATTTTAGTTTTCTCAAAGTTTAATCTTTAATCCTGCTCTTTCAGACAGACTTTTAAGCGAATGCATCATAGAAACTGTATTTAATTTGGTCATATAAATAATCTAATAGATATGTTCTCCAGTTATTGAGATTAGAGATTTGGGTGTAGTATTGGATTGTGCATTGACATTTAGGAGCCATTTTCTTAAAATTAAGGAAACAGGATTTTGAAATCTTGGTTTTATTTTCTAGGTTTCTGAGATCTTTAGCTTTTAAAGCACATATTAATATAAGAAATACTGAAAATTACATAAATTATTCTGTAATACTGTCTCAATTTAACATTGCTACACTGAAGAACTGCAGTTTGAGATATGAAACAAATATAAAATTCTAAACAAAGTTATTAATTATCCCCGTTATTAGCCAATGTGTACTTAAACACAATACATAGAACTCGACATACTGCACTCTTTTATATTCCTGTTCATAGGACTGATTATGCCCGTCATTTTCCCTTGTCGAGAATACTGACCTATTGGATTCATTCTGTCCAAACAGTTAATGTTTTCAAAAGGCAACTTTAAAGTCTAATTATTAATCTAAATATTTGATATTTTTTAACTTTTGTGATTTGATATAGTGTTTTAATGTAATTTTTACTGTTTAATTGTTATTGTTTTGATGTTTATTGTAAAAGGTTTTACCGTTGAAATAAATAAAATAAATATTTGGTAATGTCTCTGGTTTATTTACAAGGTATTTTTTGTCTTGGCGCCAAAGAGGGGTACTCATCTCCACCCAATTGTCTGTACTTTGCACTTAACCTGTTAAAGACCCTATATGTAACAAGTATTTTTTGTTTTTTAGATCCTCCATGGCACAAAAATATACCCAGCTTTCTTGCAGCTGCGAAGTGAAGGTATATACTATCTCTACAGAGGCATCCTTCCACCACTATGTCAAAAAACGTTATCTTTATCGATAATGTTCGGAGTCTACGAAGAAGTTAAAAGACCTTTGATACAACTGGGATTCAATCCGTACGGTGCTAAAGCTATAGGCGCACTAGTGTCAGGAACAACGGAGGTTATATTAATGCCGTTCGAAAGAGTACAAACTATTTTAGCAGATTCTAAACATCATACAGATTTTAGGAACACTTTACATGTATTTAGGGAATTAGGCAAATTTGGCATTAGGGAATATTATCGTGGATTAGTTCCGATTGTGCTTAGAAATGGGCCTTCGAACGTTGGCTTTTTTATATTACGGGAAGAAATGCAAAACAGATTCCCCAAGTACCAAAACGAATTTTTAAGGACCTCTTTAGAGTTTTTATGTGGAGCAATGATCGGGGTGTTGCTTTCAACGGTGTTTTATCCTTTAAATGTATTAAAAATTAGAATGCAGAGCAAAATAGGCGGATCGTTCGAGAATCCATGGAAAGTACTCATAGATATTTACAACGAACGAGGAGGAAAAATTAAGTATATTTACTATGGGGTCCAGGCGAATTATACGAGAGCTTTTATTAGTTGGGGGGTTATGAATACTGCCTACGAACACCTCAAGACTATGGCTAATGAAATTTAAGATTCTAATCGTTTTTGTGATGTGATAAAATTAAAAATAAAAGCATTTTCTCGCTGATCGTACAACAAACTTAAAAAAAAAACGAAAATAGCTGTTAGAAAATATTTATTTCTGCATTGTGGGGAAATAAATAGTTCCTAATTAATTTTCCAGGCCACTTTTTACAAATATTTACTAATAAAACCAAATAGGGTGAACATATTATCTATATTTAAATAGAAAGACCGATTGGCGAAATAATAATATGTGTATCTCGTAGGAAATACATTTCTGACTTCTGAGGTGTTGTTCTTGGTTTATGCCTCGCTCAGCAATCTTTCCGTCCCACTGTAATGCCAAATCAAGATTTCCTCCTGTATTCGAACGTCGTGATGTTTCACAGAAAGTTCAGTGCACCTCGTCATGGATCCATGGGATTATGTCCCAAAAAGAGATCCCAAAGACACCGTGAAAAGGTAAAGGCTTTTCCAAAAGATGATCCTCCGAAACAGATCCACTTACTTGACCTTTATAGGTTAGAAATCTGGTATGACACACGTGGTAAGAGAGAGGCAGACAGACCTGGATCAAAAATCAATAAAGTAATTGTATAGGCTGTAACAATTTTGGAAACTCCAACCGTGGTAATTGTTGGGGTTGTCGATTACAGCAAATACTACATGGTATGTGGATATTCCTCTGAGTATCGAAAAGAATTTAGAGATTGTTAATTACTGTAAGATTGTCAGAGTTATGGCTCACAGTAAGATGAAATTGTTGAAGCAACGTCAAAAAGAAGCCCACATTATGGAAATTTAATTAAATGGTGGTAATATACCTGATAAAGTGACTTGGCATAAAGAACAGCTTGAAAAGCCTATTCCTATTGACAGTGTTTTTGCTCAAGATGAAATGATCAGGTACTCTTGGTGTTGTCGGTCACATTGGAATTACACATGGTCTTAGGGCTTTAATCACAGTTGGGGCTAAGCATATCTCTGAGTATTGCCTCAGTTGCTTCTACAAGAGGATGAAGCAGGTATTTACCAAGGAGTGATTTAGAAAGTAGTCCATTGAAACATTGAAAAGAACTTGAAGAATACTGTTATTTACTACTGTAAAGTTTTTAGTTATTGCTAAAACTTGTTGATGAAATTGTTGAAGTAACGTCAAAAAAAAGCCCACATTATGGAAATTCAATTAAATGGTGGTAATATATCTGATAAAGTAACTTGGGCTAAGGAACAGCTTGAAAAGCCTATCCAATTGTCAGTATTTTTGCTCTAGATGAAATGATCAGTAAGCTGTAAGACACACAATCGTTTTCGTAAAGTTGCCTGTACTGTAGAATGGTTCAAGAGCATGATTCAAGGTTCCACGTGCTGGTCAAAGAAAACCTGTCGAAATGGGTACATTAAGACCTTTGAGGTCGCTGATTTCAAATTTGTTATTTTTGACAGAAAATAAAATTGTGAATCAGTTATGACAAACCTTATAAGGAAATCATTTTTTCGAAGGATAAATTTTCCAATTATATGAAAATAAAAAACAAAAGAAAATTAATTTCAGTTTTTCGTTTTATTGAAGAAAATAGAAATAATATGCAAGGATATTTACAAAAACCACTTAATACTGTGAATCAATTTGTAAATTATTACTACTTGGAGGTTTAAGTAATTTAATTGCTTGAAAATCTAACTCTGCTTTGTTTGCTCCCGTAACGTAAACCGCCACAACTGAGATGGAATGGTTGGAGGAGGGCACAGTCGTGAGTTATTCTCACGTTAGCATCCGAGAAGGTTTCTCACACTCATGACGAGCCACGTTATTTTCCTTTCTCATTAAACCCTTTCTTATCTGAATATTTTGTTTTCGATGTTTAATCTCATCTTTATCTTCACCTCAGTTTTGTTGTTTTTTGAATTCTAATTTAAAATTTAATAAAATTCAGTTTTTTTTGCATGATAAAGTACTTAATATTTTATAATTATTAAATCGAAAAATTTACTGCTTAAATGGTGTTTCCAAATGACAAATGCAAAAAATAAACATATACTTGTAACATGTTGTCATGTGTAATAAAGATAAAAATGAAGTCTACGATGACATACACAATATGGATGTCCAACATACAGACAAAGCATGATTGATAAGTGTAGCAGCTATTTTTTGTTAAAAAATATTTTCAGAAAAATTTTAAAATGATTTCAAAATGGAGAGTGGTAGTTGATTTTACTGTTACATGATTAAAAACTTTTTTTATGTATGAAAAACGTTAAAAATTTAATAATTAACCAAAGTCATGATGTTTATCATTTATATAATGTTCTGAATCTACTACCTTTATTTTTTCCTTTTGGATTCATAAAAATCCTTAACGATCAAAAAACTAACTCCGTCAACTTCTTGTTGCTCTACCGCATGGAAAGTGTACCGGTCAGTCCTAAAGCTTGAAGTACCAACCTGACTATTGAGAAACTTAAATATCTCTAAATTGAAACTTCGATTTTACGATTTTTGACCAGGAATTGGCGATTTAGCATATCTGTGCGTCATTCAGGAATGTTTTTTCTTTACTACTAGATATACAATAGATTATTAAAGAATTTTTAACAATATTTTTTTCTGTGCAAATGTAACAATATACAAATAAGAGATTATGTTGAACAAGCTTTATTGCTAAAAGTATTTTGTTACTTGTTGTAAACATGTAAAATAAACAAGAAAAGGAACATTTTTTCCGCCATTATGTAGTTTGCTTAAAATCTAATAAATGTTTATATTGTTTTTCAAAAAGTTTATTTATTGTTATGAACGTGTTGCTTTATAATTTTCAGTCGTTTAATTCCTAGACCTTTCTACGATGCGACTTGAAAGACCTAAATTTATGTTTTAGTTTAAGGAAATAAGATTTTTCTCGTGACACTGACCTTACCAGGCAAACGACAGTTGTTTTGAGTAGTATGGACCTATCACAAGAACCTATATAAAAAATGTATTTAAAAATTCGTTTATAAAAGGTAGAAAAAAAAAGAACCGAACTTCCTGCACATATCTGCTTTCCATATTCCAGGTATCAAATGTTGAAAAAACATAAAGGCCGAACAAGAAGAATATAGAAGACTAATGAAGCATGAAATAAAGAATTATAACCGAAGTGGAAGACATAGTAAAATGTATTAATCCACAAAGACTAAGATGGTTTGGACACATACAAAGAAGAGAAGAAGACGCGCTAATTAGGAAAATAAACAGAAGGAAGACATGTTCACATGTTTTAAATAACATTTTTGACGATTGACCATTTATAATATAATTCCCACTAAAATATTAGATAATACCAGATTATTTAATTTTTAACTATCAACAAAAATGTAATATATGATGACATGTATGAATTTAATAGTAATACGATATTCACAGTTATCGCCGGCTAAGTACCTACATAATTTCTTTGTCGATATAAGTATTTGGATAATATGAATCATTTTTCAATGATATGTGTGGATGGAACCTTATTTTTTTAATAACAAATGTTCCTGCAAATGCGTAACTTTGTTTATGTGGTATAGTATATTTCGATTGACACAGCAGAACAGTAAAATAACATAATGATGTTGTTAAAGATGTCTTTGCTTACTTCGTCTACTAGTAAGCATATAAGTTATAGCGTATTTGATAAAATTACTGTGTACACAACTTGCCAACTCAGCCAATGGATATAATAATAGAAAACTGTAATTTATGTTAGGGTTTGAAAATATTACAGAGTCATCATGTAGAAATCTACACTTATGTTAAAAAATTTACCACAGCAGCATTGCTGCAATTGCAATTGAGGGTGAAGATCAACCTTAAAGCTTTCTACAACAATTGTACTTTCCATCAAAGTCGAAGTACCGTTAAAATTTCGTATGCACACACACAATACTTGTTTTTTACGCTTAATACACAATAGTACAATAAGTCCTTTTTCCTATAATACAAGCCACGCCAGAATTGGCCCAAAATACAGACTTATTCATCTATATCTCCACAAGACACAGAACATCACATAGTGAGAAACCTGATAGACTATCTACTAATCAATGAAAGATACAGAAACAGCATAATGTCAATTAAAACATACCCTGGTGCAGATATATCATCTAATCACAATCCACTAGTTGCAAGAATGAAAATAAAACTAAAGAAAATTAATAGCACAACCCCCCAAAAAGCAGTTGATATCAACAAATTACGAAAACCAGAAGTAAGAGAACAGATGATACAAGAAATTGATGAAGCAGTAACAAAGATACAACCCATAAAAGACAACACAAAAGTTAACATCAATGAGAATTGGACAGACATTAAAACAGCGTTAATGAAACCAAGCATAAGTCACCTCCATAAAAGTAAAGAATATAAAAAAGAATGGATGACAGATGAGATACTGAACTTAATGGATGAAAGAAGAAAACAGAAAAACAAAAAGAACCAGAAGTATAAAGAGATACAAAAAGAAATTCGTCTAAAAATACGCACAGCTAAAGAAAACTGGTACGGGGAAAAATGCGAAGAAATCGAACAACTACAAAATAAACACGACAGCTTTAATGCACATCGGAAGATCAAAGAGTTGACGAGGAGACAAAGTAACAGACACACCATAGCAGACGAGAGTGGAAACATTATTATGGACACAGAAGAAAAATTAAGAGTCTGGAAACAGTACATAGAACAACTGTTTAAAGATCAAAGAGACAATGTAGATAACGAATACATAAACAGTGACACAGGACCAGAAATAACAAGAGATGAAGTGGAATACACGATTAAATAAATGAGGTCGGGGAAGGCTACAGGCCCAGATGAACTACCAATAGACATAACTAAACTCATCAAAGGCAACAACTTAATAAAGATCGTGGAACTATTTAACAGCATTTACAAATCTGGTATCATACCTAATGAATGGCTAGTAACAACAATAATAGCCATACCCAAAAAGTCTAATGCGAGACAATGCTCGGAACATCGCACCATCAGTCTCATGTGTCATATATTAAAGGTCTTCTTAAAAATCATTCATCGGAGAATATATAAAAAATTGGAAGTTGACATCGGACCCTCTCAATTTGGCTTTAGAGACGGACTAGGAACTAGAGAGGCACTGTTTGCTTTTAATGTTCTAACACAACGATGCTTAGACGTAAATCAGGACATATTTGTGTGTTTCCAAGACTATAACAAGCATTTGATACAGTAAAATATAGGCCACTGATGCAAATACTGGAAAATAAAAATATTGATACAAGGGACATGCGAGTGATAAGGAATCTATACTACAAACAAGAAGCTACAGTACGAATTAACAGCTCGATATCAGATAGAATACAGATCAAAAGAGGTGTTCGGCAGGGCTGTGTGTTGTCTCCAACCTTGTTCAATGTCTACGCGGAAGAAGTTATTAAAAAGCTCTTATGAACGAAAAAGCCGGAATAAAGATCAACTGTCACCCATTTGCAATATCCGATATGCTGATGATACCGCGCTCATAGCAGAAAATATTGACGACCTACAGAGATTACTAATGTTGTGTAGCCGTAACCTAAGCCTAAAGCTGAAAATACGAATGCTTAAATGTTATGTTTTCTCGGTCCTGTTGTATGGGGTGGAGGCGTGGACACTAAATAAGCAATGTATGGGTAAGCTGGAGGCATTTGAGATGTGAGCGTACCGAAGAATGTTAAAACTCTCCTGGAAGGATAAGGTAACTAACCAAGTTGTATTAGACAGGATGAACAAACAAAAGGAGGTCGTATTGAGTGTTAAAATGAGGAAACTACAATATCTGGGACATATTACACGTGGGAATAAATATCAACTGTTACAACTAATTATGCAAGGAAAGATTGAAGGTAGGCGCAGCATAGGTAGGAGAAGAATGTCATGGTTGAGAAACCTCAGGGAGTGGTTTGCTTGCACTTCCATACAATTGTTCCGAGCGGCAGCCTCCAGGGTCAAAATTGCCATGATGATAGCCAACCTTCGTAGCGGAGATGGCACGTGAAGAAGAAGAAGACAGACTTATTTTATCTTCTGGATCAACTTCGCCCCATTCTCGTGCTATACTTTTTTTTAAGCAGTTAACATTAATTCCATGTATTATATGGCTTCTCTTCAATACATGTATTATATGACTTCTCTTCTATTTACTGCAAAATATTTGGCTATTACACTAAGCTTATGTAAGCAAGCAAAGAGAAGAATTCTGATTGAAATACAAAATAAAATGTACTGACTGATTGGACGAAATTCTACGCTGGTAGGTACTTACATACAATTTCGCCAATTGTCGTTGACTTTTTTGTAGGAGACATAAACGCCTTCGTGAACTACCCATTGTAAAAACTATGAACACTCTGGTTTGTCAATAGTCTGAATCTGAATAAACATTGTCCATTTAATAAGCACGAAATTCTCGTTGTTTTTATTATTTATGACCTTACCGAGAGAGTATAGGGTATATACCTGATAACTAAATGTATCTCGGTGACAGAACACACAGACACATTGACCCTGTAAACCATGGACGTATGTAAACCTAATTCAAGTTGACACTATATCAGTGTTTGATGAATTAAGAAAACTTCTAAACAAATTCTCCTCAGGGCCTGATGGAATCCCATAGGTATTATTAAAGCACTATGTCCATGCTCTCTTACTATGCCCCTAAAATATCTTTATAATTTATCTCTTATGACTGGTGAGTTCCCTTCTTTCTGGAAGAACAGTTATATTGTACCCATTTTTAAGTCAGGTAAAAGGGAAGATATTGAAAAATACCGAGGAATTTGTATACAGTCAGCAATTCCAAAACTTCTCGACAAGCTAGTGACTTCTCACTTATCAAAACTAACAAATAATATAATAATACCCCAACAGCATGGCTTTCAAAGGGGGAGGAGCACAGTGTCAAGCTTGTTGGTCTACCAAGATGATATATTGGATGCCTTTGAGAAGAAGTACAAGGTGGACAGCATCTATACTGACTTCTCAAAGGCATTCGATAAAGTAAATCATCGTTATTTAATCAGTAAATTAGGAGCCATTGGTATAGCTGGCAAATGGCTTGATTGGTATGATAGTTTTCTTGTGGGTAACACCCAGAGCATTAAGATAAATGGTGTGTTCTCTGGAGTACCAGAGGGTACTCAGCTGTCTAGGCAAGACTGTTGTTAAGGATTTAGGTGTTTATTTTGATTGTAAATTAGCATTTCGTAAGCATCTAGAGGTCACAGTAAAGAGTTCATTTAAACAATTAGGGTTTATAACTAGAAACACTTCTCAATTTTCATGTTTTGTTTTACCAATTCTTTTTAATAGTCTCATTCGCTCCACACTAGAATATGCAGTAGTTGTATGGTTTGGCTTACTATCAAACATCTGTAGACAAGTTTGATCGTATTCAGCACAAATTTGGTAAACACTATCATTCATAATCATCATCATCGTCATCAACTAGCCTCTAACGTCCACTGCTGAACATAGGCCTCTCGCATGCTTTTAACACTATCATTACCGTAGTGCTTTTCATGACCTCTCTGTCTCATACAGTTATAGTATGATAGCTGATCACTTGAAAATGGTTTCTATGAATCGGCGAAAAGATTATTTTTGCCTAATATTCCTTTACAAAATTGCTAATTGATAAATTGCCCTGAACTTTTAAATCGATTAGGTCTTAACACTCTTCATGGAACTAGGCATACCTACTTCGTTCACTTATCTACCATTTCATCAATTTAATTATGAATACTTCAAGCCTCATTCATATGGCGAAACAATATAATACGTACCAAAGTGATCTGGACTTATTTTTCTAGTCCTTAGAACAATTTAAAAATGTGATAAAGAGACTGGTATTTGTGTGATATTAGTTTGTATTCAAGTTAATTATTAGTTTTTGTTAATCTTTACTTTGCTTTACTTTGTTAAAATTTACTATTTTTTTCCTGTTATGCTTATTTTGAAAAATTTTCTATTTGTTCCAATGTAAATGGTATATCCGTTAATACATAAATAAATAAAATAAAACTAGATATCGACAATAAGGACAGCCTGTGTTGACCAAGAGAGTTAACTATTAGCCAGCTTCGAGCTTTTTTAAAAAATGTTTAAACAAAATAGCTGCTTTGTGTTACATTTTATATGAAAAGTAAAAAAACAAAAAAAATATTAAACAAAAAAAAATGTTTAAAACAATTTATTAATTTAAAAAGAGTTAGTGCACTAGAATTTTTTAAGATCTATCATATAAAAAAAGAATTATCTCAATATCTGCCACAGTTTTTGCGTTATTTTATTTAAATTTTTACATTAGAATTTAACGGCTGTTAAAAAGTGTGGAGTAGTTTCATATACTCGGAAAATTAATAGTGTTATTGAGGATTATTATATTAATGATGATCGAGTGGAGAGAATTCTAACTAACTATCTAGTGCTATGAAGGATCTTAGATCTAACTTAGATCTATTTTTTAAAAATTTCTGTAAAAAAAATGTCACCAGTAACTAAAATGTTGAAAATTTGTAATGAAGTGTTTATCTCATATAGACATATTTAATGTAAAAATCAGTGAACTTAGACTAGACATTGCTTGCTCATCAGCGAAGGTTTAAGGGGTTTAATAAAACACAAGCACTCTTTTCGTCTCTTTCATTTATTTTATTCCTTGTAGTTTATATTCTTAAACTATTACACTATTACATGTAAAGTTAGCTTTTTACATGTAATTACCTACTATTAGTTTATAGTGTTTATAAAGTTACAAAATTACAAAATAGAGTTTTTTGAAAATAAACAAGGTATTTTAACATATTAAGTTATTTTTCCTTTAAAATATATTGCCCTAGACTGTGCCTAGTTTAACTCAATAACTAAAAATAATTATTTTACAATTTTTATCGTAAATATACAAATAAAAAAAGTTTTAAAATAAAACTCTTTTTTTTTATTTTGACCTCATAGATTTATACAGAAATCTGCATTGTGGCAGCACTATCGAAAATGTCCATAAATGACTGTTGACAGCTGAGTTATGAGTTGAAGTTGAAAGGTTCTTTTTTTCTGCGCTCTCAAGGCAGAAGGTCTTATTGACAACAAAATCCGAATAATCCGTAAAAATGAGAATCTACAAAGACATTTTCACAGGTATTTATTGTTTAGAACATAATGGAGTATTGTTTTAAGCATTTATTTTTGTTTCTTTATATAATATTTTCGTATAAAACGTAACAGCAGTTTCTCATTTTGACGTTTCTGTATTTTAGGAGACGAAATGTTTTCCGACACCTACAAAATGAAGTTAGTTGATGAGGTAGTATATGAAGTTTATGGTAAACTTATTCAGCGTAAACAGGGTGACATCCAACTGGATGGCGCTAACCCTTCTGCCGAGGAAGCCGATGAAGGCACCGAAGATGGCGTAGAATCTGGTGTCGATATAGTTCTTAATCACAGATTATGTGAAACATACGCCTTTGGAGATAAAAAATCTTACACCGCATATCTTAAGGATTACATGAAAAAGTGAGTATTTTTAATAATATCAGTTATTTTTGTAAAATTGACGTAGCTGTCAATATTTGTTTATTTTCATATTTTTGTATATAATCTGGAATATATTTTAATTGCTTTAAATCATTATTCAATTTTTAAGTAATATACAGCCCTTTTTGTTCAGGAACATAAATTATTATAAAAGTTGCATTTCAATAAAATATTTTAAAATCATTAATACAGTATTTATTAGTTTTTAATGATTAGGAAGTTCTATTAGTAATATGTAACTTTCTAGAAGTAAAATATAGCTATCAGCAAATTAAAAGTGATTGCTGCACAATCTCTATAAACAAGTGTATATTACCTTTGTCTTATCTTAGACTTACAAAATTTTAAAAACAATAACAAATTTTACTGATATGGTTATACTGTACTTGATTTTTGTGTAATTTTCTTGCTTATAACTTAAAACAATTCATTTTGAAGCAGTCATAGTGAAATAAAATAGTGGGTTAAGTTTAAGGTACTTAGATACTTCAGTAATAGTAATTGACTTATTCTATGCTCACTCCCAAATCAGGAACATTAATAAAAACATTTATGGAACAAAATATTTCAGTTTGGCAGTGTTGGGATGTTTTTATAGTGCATATGTTGTGTACTTCAAATATAATGAAAGTTTTTAAAAAATACAATTTGATTATATTATGCTATGGATTCTGCAATTTTTTATTTATATAAAACAATAAGTAAATATTCGTCTCTTTAGAGATTAATTGCAAAGATCTGTTGCAATTTGCTAACTGGTGGTTTGAAAATTGCCAAATCTATCTGCTACTCTATTAACATGTTTGCTGTGATTACGAAAAAGTCAATTATTATGTTGTATGCTCACCAGTTGTAATTGCCTGGTACTATAGAATTCTGTATTTAGATACACCAGTCACAATAGACTGGTAGTTCTTAAGAAATGTAGATGTTCTATATGTACATTTTTAAAGATTTATGTGTAGTTATAGTTGTATACATACAAGGAATATATAAACTTGCTGGAAGCTATCAGTATCAGGCTATTTATTCCTTTTGGTAATAAACATAAAGCAGGTTTTCCCTGGCATATGCTACAGTATTTAGTAACTTTAGGGACCTTTTTATCAGCTTTTGTACATTAAAGTCATCATATATGTACATAAAATCATCTCACTGCAGATTTGATCTATAATGTTCATATAAATTGTTTTTTTTTTTAGACTAGTAGCAAAATTGGAAGAGAAAGCACCTGACCAAGTAGACATTTTTAAATCTAACATGAACAAAGTCATGAAGGACATCTTAGGTAGGTTTAAAGAATTACAATTCTTTACAGGAGAGTCAATGGAAATTGACGGTATGGTAGGGCTTATGGAATATAGAGAAATTGATGGGCAATCTGTGCCTGTAATGATGTTCTTCAAACATGGACTGGATGAGGAGAAGTTTTAGGCGTTTTAAATTATTAACATTGTTATTTAATATATACCGATCATCTACAATACTTTAACAGTGTTTTCCAACAATTATTTAATAAAGTGATAAAATGTATGTTGTGAGAGTGTTTATATCTCTTAAGAAATAAAGTGATTTTGCTAAAAGTTCTTGTTTTATTGATCTTCACTACCTATAGAATAAAAGTAATTTTATAAGAAATTATAAAATAATATTCGCATTACCTGTGAATAAATTTTTAATAAAATAAAAGTATGGTACCATGACGTGATCGTTTAAGTATGTGGCAATATATAAAAAGCAAACTCCATACATATGGTGTTAAATTATATAAACTATGTACCATCAGCAGATATATATGTAAACTATTGGTTTACTGTGGAAAAGAAAACAATATGATATATGAAATAATATGAAAGACAAATAAGGTCATTTTCAGAAAGTTGTGCTGACCTTAATGAATATTTACACTACCCATCTTGGCATTAATGAACATTTATTATAGCCTTGCTTACAGCCACATGTGCTATAATGTAATTTTGTAGGGGAACTCAGTAGATAGTAACAAAGTGTTCATTATCCAAAAAAAAAATTATCCGTAAAATTTTTAATTTGGATTATCAATAATCTTGTAAACCAATTTTTATTAAACATCAAATTTTAACTTTCTACTGCCTATATATCTACAAATGTTTACTTTATGTAAAAGAGGAAATCAATATATTTCCAGTAACAGACAATCACTATTACAATACAAGAAGTGCTAAATCTTTACCAGTTCCTTAACACAAAACTTCAAAATTGCTTCAGATATATATTATACAATCATTTGCCAAAACGGTGAAAGAAATACCATTTTCCTTTAAATTTAAGATTTACTCTTAAGGAAAGCATATTATTCTATAAATGAATATCTTGAGGACAAACTGCATTAGCTTCATATTTTACTTACAATAATGTTTTTATATTATGTTTTGTTTTTTTCAATTTTGTTACACTGAATATTGTATTATACACATTAATGTTTTTTATACTGAATTCTGTAGTGACATATCCTATACTTTATTTTGAATGTCTTAAAGCTGTGTTTCCCAAAGTGGGGGGGGGGGGGGGTCGCCGAACATTTCCAAAATAAGACAAAAGCACCACTTTGTTAGATCACGTATTTTTATTTTAACAACGCCGTAAATAGAAATTAACAATTAATTATCAGACGAAATATAAAACTAAATATTAAAGTCCGTAAAAATAAAAGAGTAAAACAAAGTCAAATATTATAATCTTAATGAGAGCTATGCGCCTGTTTCTGTGAAACTAATCTTTCAAATCTAGGCTGTGTATTTGAGACACACACAATTATATCATTTTCAAGTACGAGACGATTTCTAACTCTTGTTTTAATGGCAGTCATAGACGAGAAACTTAACTCACACAAATATGATGTTACAAATGGAACTAAACATTTTACAGCTTCACTCGCCAACTGGGGGTATTTCTGCATCTTTTCGGTCCAAAATTGGTCCGAGTTCTGGGAAAAAAATTGGAGCTTCAACATTCTATCACTTGATATTTCAATAAGTTTTTCTTTCATTTTTATTGGTATTTCAACATGCTGAAAGGAATCAGCTAAAAACGGATTTAGTATCCATCTGCAACTGTCGTAACTGTTTTGAATTTCTTCGGGGAAATAATGCTGTTTTAAATTTAGCAAAGTAACATGCTCTTTTTTCCTTGCTAATATTTCTGGTACTTGCTCTGCTCTGCTATTTGCTTTGTATTGACTTTGTGTACAGTAATTTGTAGAATTTATCAGCAAGTTCAATAAGAATTTACCTTGCGTTTTTAACAACTGACAACCCTAATTTTCGACCATTTTTTCTCATGCAAGCTTATTATATTATCATATTAAGAAAAAAATTAGCTTTAATTTAATACAAAAAAACATGCATAAGTCATGAGCAGCGTATTTTATTTAAAAAATAAATGAACGAAACAAAATATTTGCCAAAAACTAATAACTATTAATTGAATTAAAAATATTTGCGGCCACTTTTTGGCTGACAACCTATTATCAGTATTCTCCTAATTGTAAATGTATATACAAATATGAGTTTGATGAATACGTTATGAACGTACTACAGTGGGATTTGCATTAATATATATTACGATCATCACAAGAGTGTTATTTTTTCTTTGTAAAGTTTCCAGAATTTTGCTTTAGTCACTTTGCAACAGACGGCAACATGCACGCGTGCATGATTTGCAGCGATGTTGCCACACACTTCATCTGAAACACTGAAACATCATCTTTAACTTAACAATATCGCAGTAAGATTGTCGCAAACATGCCTTGTCATATTTGACGCAACAATTTATAATCAAACAAAAATAAAATTTGCCCCAAGTTTGCATGCTATCTGGGTAGTGTATTGGAGTTTCTATTTTTGATATTTCTTAACATCACGCAGTTTTCATTAACACTTCAAAGGTCGCGGTCATAAAGTGTACTGTATAGGTCGCGGTGTATCTCGAGAGATACATACGTTTAATGTTTTAATATAATTAAGAATAATTAATAAAGATAATTAAATTAAATATTAAAATATAAAACAAATTATATATAATTAATAAAGAGAAACGAGAGGCCTACACGAAGTACAAAACATCAAATACCCCAGAATCTAGAGACAACTATAGAAGAATACGAAATGAAACAGAGCAGTTGGTAAGAAGAACAAAAAATGAACACTGGGAACAGTTTACAAAAAGAATGGAAAGCGACTTCTACGGTACACAAAAACAAATATGGAGATTTATAAGAAACCAACGGAAAGAAATGGCAGAATTAAAGGAATACATACATTACATCGAATGAAAAAGAGCACAGAAATAACAAAAACGATAAAAATTCGGAAGTTACAATATTTCGGTCATGTAATGAGACATCCAGAGAGGTATAACCTTCTACACATCATAATACAGGGTAAGATCGACGGAAGGAGAGGCCCAGGCCGACGAAGAACATCCTGGCTACAAAATCTCCGAGAATGGTATCAAGAAACCACCTTTAATTTATTTAGAGCCGCCGTGAATAAGGTTATTATTGCCAATATGATCGCCAACGTTCGATAATCGAAACGAATGGGAAAGATACCTGACGCAACTGTTTAAAGCAAAGGAAAATAATAATCAACACATAACGTACCTCAATTAAGACACGAAATAGAAATCAGTTTTCAGGAAGTAGAAATAGCCATAAATTCTCTCAAAAATAGAAAGTCGCCAGGACCAGACGGAATAACAAACGAGCTTCTAAAATACGGAGGAGAAAGTATAACCCTAGAGATGACAAAATTTATACAAAAACTAATATTGCACTGCCAGATACCAGACGCATGGAGAAACGGCATAATGATACCAATGTTCAAGAAAGGAGATAAAGAAGACCCCAACAATTATACATTTACAATAGTATTTGGAGAAACGCGTCGTCTTTGTCGTATAGCAAGAAGAACACCTTTTTCTTTTATTTCCCATTTTAGCAACATCTGGATCTGCCCCACTGGTTGAACTTTTCTCCTTATGTTTCTGAAGCTGAAGCTGCAATGATCTGTGAATACCTGTAGTAATATCCGATCGCCGTTTTATTAGCTCTCGCAATAACTGACTTGAAAGATTTCGAATGAAATAGGCCACCTTCTGCTATTTTTGACTACATTATATGAACCAACCATTCGTTCTACAGTGTCAAACCCCTGATTTCGTCTGATTGTAATAATTGATTGTCACTGGCTTGTATGTATCTGAATTTACTACGTCATCGAAGTGCATACTAGATACTAAAATTACTTTTTTTCCCTTCTTCGCCACATGCGATACAAGAGTACAATCTTCACTACAAGCAAAAAAGTTAGATTGTATTGGTCTGCGATACTCACTAATTCAGGTAGTGGTTGACGTTTGTTTCTTTTGAGTGTCCCTACATATGATGGTCTGTTCTTTTTCAAATCGCTGATGAGAGTTAGATCGGTGAGCCAATTATCAGAAGTGATATTTCGTACTGAATTATAGATAGGTTCAGCTTATCTCTTGACTACATCTACTGACTTATTGCTAATACGAAATGGACCTTCAGGCTACAGTCTTGCATAAATTTCAATATTGCCTGTGTAAAAGAGCTTAGAATCACCATGGAAAAAATTTTAATCCCAGGTTTGTTAGGTTTTAATGGGATATATTGCCTAAATCTGCATCTGCTCCAAAAGCTTGCCAACATCTCGTCTATAGTTATGTTTTGTCCCATAGAGTATCCTTTTTTGCAATTTTCTACAAATAGTGAAAATATTTTTGTTTAACAGCTGACAACTTATCAACCTTTAGTCGATCTGGTCAAGTCGTCTTGTCATCGAATCTTATACAGTTGTGATAAATTTGCATCTGCTCATTGACATTGTAAGTCTAAATAATTCAATTCCACTACTATCTGTTGCCCATAAATCTTCCAAATTTAGCCGATTACTGCGGTGTAAGCCAGCTAAATACAAAAGGCCCAAAAATGATTTTAGTTCTATTTTGTCAGTTTGTTTAGCATCTCTTTCTCTTGAATATCTACTTGAAATAAAGTCTATATATTTGTATATGGTAAAATTAAATCATAAAAGTTCTTCTGACACGAATCAGCTCCATCATTCATATTTAGTTTTTGCATTTTTTGTAGTATTTCTTACTAGAGGCAATTGTCACAGAATATTTTGTTTCTGTCGCCTAATTTTATTTCCGTAAACTGATTTTTTCCCCAATTTGTTACTTTGTCTTTTCCGAAAAAATACTCCCCGTTTTCACGTTCTCTTCACTCTTCTCACTAGAAATGTCCGAGTTTTCTAATCGCTCTTCGACATAATCGATTTAGTCCACACCGCTTTTGCTTCAAACTCATTTCTTTCATTTCTATCGTCAGAATCGAGAAACATACTCTGAAGCTCTAATATATACATTTTTTTCGACATTCTGAATATAATATAGATCACACAACGAAATAAACACGAAAAAATATATACTTCATCTAATTTAGATAACGACTTACGTCATTATCTACGTCAGAGAGCGAAGTTGACATAGTTGCCAAAGTATAAAAAAATCCTGACTCCATTTT